AGAGTGGATTGTGGATTCTCGTGGGTATGTGATGATGTGTGTGTGTGGGGAGACATCTTCTCATTTGAGAAGGGTCTTGCTCTAAAACGATCTACGATATAATCTTTTATTCAGGGACCTGAGCGTTCGGTTTGTCTAAGATTGTTCTGACTCCGTAGTTTGTTGCAGCTAGACCTTATCAACCTTTGATTATTGGCGTTGTTCAGATGTTTATTCGTGAATTTGTAACGATGGACTGATGGCTAGTAAACGTATCTGTTGCAAAGTATGTTTATTGTCATGTACCGGTACCGACATATTGGTTGAGGCAAATGAAGATCTTGAGCACGAAGCTCTATACAAAAGAAATCCATCTTGATTATATAGTCCTTCGTGCCTATGGTTAACTAGGAATCGTCGTTCCTGGTTGTTCCTAGGAACGTTCGTTCCTCACCGTTCCATCACATGTTTTATGGTCATGTGACATACTAATCGTTTTGGACGTAACAAAGAGTCAGTCTTTCAAGTAGCCGATTATTATTGGAATTTCCGGTATTTTACCTATGCCGAGGTTATAAGAATAGGTAAGGAAGATAGATTAGATAAGACTTATCGATAATCCAGGTAACACACAGCTGCGCTGCATGGTAGATCACAACCCAGCAATATGGTTCATGGTTTTTGAACAAGGAATTACAGGGAAAAGTAGATAGCAGGTAAGCCCAGAACTAGATTTTTTTTCTTCGCGAAGTGAAAGTTGTGTTGATTGATCATATGATTAATTTTAGAATTAAGTCTTCAATCAGAAATAGAGAAATAAGATCATAGACCATAGACACAGAAACCCTCAGATATATTCATGAAACAACATGTATTTGTAAAACAGATGATCGTCCTAGCACCTAAAGCATTCCGAACATAATGCGTAAAATTTTTCTCGTTAATATATCCATCATCCCATTTACAACAAGTACAAAGCCGCACCCAAAATGGCTCCTCCAGCAATTGGTACTTGTGTTCTCATAGCTCCCGAACTGGATGTAGATGTAGCACTCGCGGCGCTTCTTGTTGCGGAACTGAAGTCGCTGCTAGCTCTGCTGGTTGCACTTCGTACGTCAGATGATGCACTGGCCACATCGCTGCTGATACTGCTCATTGCCGCACTAATTGAGCTTTTAACTGCACTATCGGTAGCGGTCGCTGCTACTGAGCTCAGGCTTGAAATTTCGCTACTGGCATCGCTTTGGATGCTCGAGAATTTGGATGCAGCGGCAGAAGTAATTGAAGAATAAGCTCCAGCGGCGTCAGATGTTGCTGTCGAAAAAGCACCACCTGCTCCTGAAGTGGCAGTTGAGAAAGCACCACCTGCCCCTGAAGTGACAGTTGAGAAAACTCCACCTGCTCCCGAAGTGACAGTTGTAAAAGCACCACCTGCTCCAGATGTGACAGTTGAGAAAACTCCACCAGCGCCAGACGTAACAGTTGAGAAAACTCCACCAGCGCCAGACGTAACAGTTGAGAAAACTCCACCCGCTCCTGAAGTAACAGTTGAAAAAACTCCACCAGCCCCAGAAGTAACAGTATCAACCGCTCCACCAACCGCCGAAGTAGCCGTGCTCAACGCGCCGCCGACATCCGAAGTGATCGAATTGACGATGCTTCCGAGATCTTGTGCGGAAGCACCGATGGAAAGGAGAGCAATAGCTGGAAGAATTTGGTAACGCATGGTGAGGATAGTGATCGTGATGTTATCGGGATTTGGAAAGTTGATTCGATTATAGAGGTAGTGAGTGAGTACTGAGATTGAGAAGCTTAAAAGAAGATCAGTTCGTAGATTTGTTTTGTTAGTGAATAGCAAGATTGAAGAAAGTGAAACAAGAGATGAAAATGAATCTAGCGGTCGGACAGCCTTATATATACTATGTATATGCTAGGAACTGTACTCCGTACCTACCTAGTAGAGCATCGTCACCTCATCTCATATCACCGTGCGACAAGGCAAGGCTAGAATGGTGAGATGAGCATGTCCTCGTATTTCGAATGAGATTACTCGAGTATTGCGGGATTTCGTGCGATGGTGCATGACGTTGTAAAGGGGCGGGTTAATCTGAAACTGGCTAGTGATAACACTTCATGCTGTGGCTTAGCTCGCTTAAGTAATTACCATTAGCGGCAGCCACCCAGCTTTTCTTTAACTTTCGATGTGGCTCGTTGATCATGGGGGAAAAAAACAAAATCTCGTCGACTTTTCGACGACATTCCGAGGTTATTCCAAACTTGGTTTTCTTGGTATTCGCAGTATGGCTGGGGTACTGGCAAGGAAATAGGTGTGCTTGCGCGTCATCTATAAATATCTTCATCAATTGTTACACCAATAATCATGAGCTTTTCCACAAGGCTTCCAGGCTTTGTCGCAAACTTTTTTGCAAGTCCGAATGTTGAGGTAGGGGCTCAGCTGGATGTGCGTGGCGGTTTCAATAGAAGGTAGTTCTTGGGACAAAGCAATTTCAAGTATCAAAGTGTTTTTTTGTATAATTTATCATTAATTATCTACTGAGCCTTGTGTAGCCTATCTTAACTACCAAAGGAAAGTCGCACCACGAAATGCTTAAGCATACTTAGGCCACATTGGGGATGACCAAGTAGCACCATCAGCAATGAGTTGAGTGTCCATTGCTTTAGCTCCGGCACCAATGAACAAGAATTTTGAGAAGTGGACAGTGCTATAGTACTTGTATGTTGTGTTCCCTGGAATGAAAACAACATCTCCTTGAATGAGTGATAATGTCTCGCCTTCCATTTCAACAGTTACCATGCCCTCAAGAACCTCGAAAGCCGCGTGGCCAGCATATTTGGATGTTGGGATAGTGACGTTAGACAACTTGCGGTCGAGTGTAATGGTAGACATCGAAAAGTCGCCCTTGGATTGCACGGGAGTAACGAATGGCTGGATGATTTGGTAGCCAGCGGCATCGTTGAGGTATTTTGGTCCGAAGTCCTTTGCAACGTAGTATGGAGAACCTTGGGCGCCGAGGGCGTTTGGACCGGTGTGCCAGGTGGAGTTTAATGGTGCAGTGCCATTTACAGTATCGCTGCGTGGAACGTAGTCGAGCTTAGCATAGACGTCGAATGACTGAAGAGAGCTAATAACTGAAGCTGGGGGAGAGTCACTGCCACTGACGACGAGGAGAGGGTCGTAAGGTGGTTGGGTTGGTGAGGAAGCTAAAGTCCAGTTGGAGTCTGCAAGTGCGTAAAACAAATCTCTAAATCCTTGTGTCAATTTCATGTCTGGTTGCACTACAATTCGTCATGTCTGGAAAACTTACTCGAATCCTCCAGGTTGGATAACTCCGACAATCTCAGTGTCTGGATCGAGCACTTGGAAAGTATGGGTGGTGTTGATTGGTACACTTCCATAGTCTCCTGCTGTCAAAATTCTTGTCTGATCGTCCCCATCCTTCTCCGTCCAGAGCTGGTAGCGGCCTTTGAGATTGAAGAAATTCTCATAATGTGCCTGGTGAATGTGAGGAAGAACCCCCAAATCAGTTGATCCTGGTGCGTTTGTTTGGAGTAGGGAAAAGGCATATCCCGAAGATGGCCCGGTCACGGGGAAACGATAGAGCTGGTTACCAACCACGCAACCAGATGCATCATAATGCGCGATTGCATAGGGACGTACATGGTCAGGCACCTCTGTTACCCAGACCGAACTGTTTTCACGGGAAGTAGTGGCGGACGCAAGCCCGACGGCAAGAACGGATGAGGTTAAGGTAGAGGTGCGCATGATGAAGGTGATCAAAGAATTTGTGTTTGAGATGAAGGTAAAAGAAAGGGTGCAAGACAGTTCGAACGATGCACGGTATATATGGACAAAAAGAACCTGATCCACTCTTCCACTCTAGTCGGTATTCATACCGTCTGAAAGGTATCACCGATGTAGATACTCCGTAAATGTAACGATGCACCATACCTGAAAAACAATCAAAGGGTCCAAGGTACCTTTGCGTGGGGTTGACCCCTTCACCGTCCACTTGACATGTTGGGGTAAAAAATGATGTAAATGGGACTAAACGTCCTGTATAGGCTTAACGCATTCAGTTGGACGACGCGTCTCGTTGGCGGCTAGATCCTTCTTTAGGTTTAGATTTTAGTGATATATATCTTTCCCGGCCATCTTCATCACATCCTACGACTAGCCTTCCCGAGCATGATCATAACCGGAATTTCAAAGGCAAGATTCATCATCCGTCCACCAGATTGATTAGATTAAACACCACCTTCCACCACAAACAAGCATACCGACTAATCATAGAGGCAATTTCCGCAGCCGGAGCCGCTCATTATCCGTGGGGACGCGAAACCTTTCTCTATTTTCTCCTGACGGCATGAGATCGGTAAATCTGATATCATGGTTCATAGGTATCCGGTAAACAAAATATACTTACCAAGCCAAGGCCAAGATAGAACATTATGGAGTAAATAGACTTAACCGTACTACATCCGCCAGATCTACAGAGCAATAATGGGGAAACAAACTATCACGACATTGTGGACGGGTGGAGAACCCAAAAATCCATCCAATAATGAATGATTCTTTGGGCGGGACAGACCTTTGGTACCTTGTTCATGATTAAAAGTTGAAGATTCGTCAAAGTGGACGGACGCATGGCATTGGCAAGGTCGAACATTTGGAAAAGTCCGTCCCATAAATGATAGATGATATGGGGCAAATTTGGCCCTGATAAGTGGTGGACGAGTGGGTACTGAAAAGTACTTGGTATTGCTTAGTATAGTGGACGGGGAAGCGGTGAATTATGGCTTGGTCCGAATATGCGAATATATACGAACATAACGAATATATGAACATACTCCGTACAAATGTACGAACATACGAATAAACGGACACATGTATATGTTGGGCATGTCTACACTTTCTATTTCTTCTACGTCGGCTCTGAATATCTAGACGAACCCAAACACCAAATCAAACACCAAACGCTATGCTGTGCTGCGCTATTCTATGCTATGCCATACAATTATCTACTCGCTTCAAATCAATAAATTCAATCGCTTCAACCCGATGCTTGCGCGCTTGCTGTGTAATACATGAAAATAAAAAAGCTTTCCTTCGTAGCTTTCCTCTTCTCCTCTAGTTTCCGTGTTGCCATGCTTTCTTTTTTACGAACTTCTAATACCCAAACTCGATTGCTTTATTACTCACTCGCTGTCCCACACCTTGCACATACCATCTTCTGTGCCCTACTTACACCCACTGCAAACTTTTTAGCTTTGAAGTCCTTCCCTCCGCACTTCTTACACGCAGCGGTTTGACCACTGCCATCACTAGTCTCGCCTTCTACATCTTGATTTCCATTTGTCAAATCAGAATTTGCATCACTGCTCAATTTAGAGACAATACTATTTCCACGGGATGAGGTGGTACCACGTTCTGCGCCTAATTTGTTCGTATTTTGGTTCGCAGTTGAGCTGTTTTTCCAACTCGCGATATTCCAAAATTGATAAGATTTTCCTGTGGCATCTGTCTTTTGGGCACTTAAAACCCCCCCGCTGGGAGTAGGTGATGCAGAATTGAGTGTGAAGGATGGGGCTGGCGGTTGACTCGGGAGGGATTGGTGCGATTGTGATTTGAAGATTGATTGAGGGGGGCTACTTGTAGCAATGGAAGGAGGGCCGTTCCCGCCACTTATCGTTGTCGTAGTTATTGGTACAACACTACCATACTGGAGTTGACGGGAGGCACTTGCGAGATTGGCAGAGGAGGATGATGAGTAAGGCGCTCGACTAATTTTGGCGGGCGAGATGCTACGATCACTCCGATTACTGAAGAGAGGTGGTTTGGTATGAGAGCTGGAGGTCTTGGGTCTATCGTTGAAAACTGCCTTCCGCCAATCGAGGATATTATTGTCAGCCTGCGTTAGGGGGCCTGAAATAGAATTCTGGGAGATGGAGGTTTGACGTGACAGGGAACCACCACTTTGACGAGTCATTATACTGCTGCTACGGACGCGCATCTTCTTGGAAAACTGAGATGAAGTTTCCCATTGGTCATTGCGTCGTTTCTGATAGGCGCAGTCTTGTCGAAAGACTTTTATGCGACCAAGATAATCTGCGGTTACTATAATATTGCCATCATTGTGATTAGACCTGGCAAGGTAAGCAGATGATTGTTCAGGCCTTTTGATCTGAGGTTCTTGAAAATCTTCAACGGGAACAGTAATTGAATCGCGGTTTCCTGCTTCACTAGTTGCACGAGGTGTCGAGGGAAGGATTGATTCCTCTCTACTCAGTAAAGTCACAGGCGGTGGATTGCACAAATCGTAGACAGGATCTCCAGAGCCACTGAGAAGTATTCTAGATTTCATCGGCGCGATCACAGCGGCTGTGACAACCTCGGAATGAGCCTCAAGAAACTCACAAGGTCTTTTATCCTTGCTCTCATTATCCGTAACTCCAAGGGACCATATGTAAGCTTTGTGGTCCTCACTACCACATATAACATATTTTGCATCATCGCTGAATTGGGCCGTAATTTGACTGTAGGCATTTTCGTGGCTTCTAAACTTCATCTCTAGAGCTTTATCACGAAGGTTGTACATTCGAACTCGAGAGTCATTGGAAGTGATCAAAACTTTTGTTTCGCCTTCTGGATCATTGGGAGGATAAACAATCGTGCGAATACCTGTGATTTTGCTTCCCTTTGCATTTTTCCCTCGTGATGACCGGACATGAATTTGAGTGTGGTATTTCAAGCCTTCGGTTTCGTAGAACAAACAGATGCCACTAAGAACACCAGCAATAGCTGTCTTGCCATCTGGACTGAAGGCCACAGCCGTTATGAGACCAGGTAATTGATTCCAAAAGGCAACACTTTTGTCGGGAATACTCCAAAGTCGAAGGATTGAATCTAGTGACCCAGCCAAGAAAAAGCGATCGTCGCGTGGATGAAAGGCTATTGATGTAACAAAATCCTTGTGGTTAAAAGTGCACAAACATTCCGGTCTGCTTATATGCCATAATCGCACGGTCTTGTCCATCGAAGAAGACAGTAAAAAATTGTTTTTGCTCCAACTAAGATCCAAAACATCCATAGTATGGCCCTCGAATTCCTGTATCGGCTTAGATTTGAAGACAGGAGCGCTCAACTTTTCACCATCTTCGTCGAATTCATGTGCTCGCCGCTCCTCCGCGGTTGATATTACTGCCCAAACTCGAACCACTCGGTCCTTCCCTGCTGCAGCAAAATATTTCCCATCTTTGCTAAACTCAGCTGCCCACACTGCGCCGGTTGACTTTGGTGGTTTCGATAACTTGTTAGGGTGTTCTGAAGTCGTCGAACTTTGCACTTTCTCTTCCTTTGACAGAATTTTTGTGCCACTCAATTCCTGAGCTAAAAACATGCGATTAAACTCCATAGTCTTCTTATTATGTGCTCGGACCTTAATATATCGTGGTGGCTCCTTATGTCTCGGGATATAGCCGTTTGCACCTATCGCCGAGGAAAAGACATGGGCATTCATGCCTTCGGTGCGTCGATCGTCCAATTCGCCCTCGTCGCCATCCATCTCTGTCTCCTCATTCTTCCTTCCCCCTAATATATTGAAACGATTCAGGAACGAGACTCCTTTCCTACATGATTTCGATCATTAGCTTTCATAATGATACTCAATAACCAACTTTCGCCAACACATGCAGCCACGAGGGGACAGTAGGCAGCTCTGCAAGCAAGGCTCTATATTCCCGATTCTACTAAATGTAAACTTACTTCCTGTCTTTTGCCAGATTACTATCGCTGCGACTCTCCGGGGTCAATTGCCTACCAGGTGAACCTGTGTCAGGACTCCCCGGCTCCGAGAGCTCTGGAAGAACATTCCCTGAGGTAGGAGCATTTCGAACTTTTTGGGGGACTGTGTTCTCAGTATTCGTACGCTTCAGTATATGCTACATGTCGGTCAGTAAATGTGACCTTCAAGCCGGTATGGTTGTTCATATAGAGCCATCCGAGAAGTAAATCTGATGTCACATACATGCGAGAGAGGGTCGATAGCAGAAGAGGTTCGAGCAGATGCTGTATCACTTCCATTTTCTTTGTTGGCTACTCCATTCCGAATGAGTTTTATTGGAGACTTCTTTGGAATTGTGGAATGCCCATTGTCTAGAAACAGAACTTGCATCAGCACATTGCATCTGATAAGCAGCAGTACCACTTATACTATTTCCCTCAAAGTATTACACCAATAATGACATGTAAATTGTTCGCCCTACCTTCCGATGAAGTTGCAGAGCCTCGTCTCCCCCCTTCGGTCGTTGGAGACCCAATAGCTTGTTGTTGCTCCTTGCTGCCCTTCAAACGCCCATCTGTCACTTTGATACCCGGCAATTCTGCATCAGCCATTTTGTCTCCGCGGCCATAAATCCAGTAGTTCTGGAAGCTTGTGTAGGTAGATCAGATAATAAGCTGCGAGCAGCTTTGTGCAAAATGTGTAGTCACTTCCTCGCTCACCACATTCCGCTCTTTTCCGGGGGCCTAATCCAAAAATTTACGCTTTTAGATGATGGAAACAGATATTCAGATGTTCGAGCACGAGCACATGAGTTGTTTGGATTCAAAAATTTATGATTTTATGGGCATTTTGAATGAACCTGATTCCAAAATAATAAATAACTATAGAAAGTCGTCGATAGATGTGGTGGGCACAAGGTACCAATTGATTCCTATTGGCTTTTGTCCTTATCCCATTTCCTTTGACGTAATGGAACTTTCGTGAGGAAACTCGCCTGGGACACGCCCACGTTCGTAATCCTCAGGGTTCAGTATCGTGTTCCAAATGAGTGATGAACCCTGAATGAAATGAATGAAATGCCTAAGAAAGCGGTGTCGCCTAAAATGGCAGAATTATAGAACTGGTGAACAGACATCGATAATGTCTGAAGCGGAAAAAGGAAACCAGATGCAACAGCTGAAAGACATTGTTTGAGAATGGAAATAGGAAAAGTATCCGCAGATCACCTTACCTACCTCCGTCAAGCCCTCAACCTTGCTCGACTATCTCCACCTAAACCTACCAATTTCCGCGTTGGCGCATTACTTCTTAATGCTTCTACGAACACTGTTATAGCAACAGGTTATACACTAGAATGCCCTGGCAATACACACGCAGAACAATGTTGCTTCATAAAGCTCTCGCAAGCTCACAATATACCTGAAGATCAGCTCGCAGATATTTTGCCAGAACATACAATATTATATACTACAATGGAGCCATGCGCAAAGAGGTTGAGTGGCAATGTTAGTTGTTTAGAGAGAATCTTGAGGTTAGGTGAAACTGGGAAAGGAATTCAAAAGGTGGTTGTTGGCGTGAAAGAGCCAGAGAAATTTGTGGGCGAGAACGAAGGGAGGAGAAAGTTAGAAGACGCTGGCATTGAGGTATTGTTGGTGGAAGGGTTAGAGGAGGAAATCTTGGAGGTTGCTACAGCAGGACATGTTCCTGCATCTAATGGATGAAACGATTGTATACTGCTCTGTGTATGGAATTGTTGCATTGGTCTGTTTGAACGCAACGTTTTTCACTCTAAGTTTACATGTGCGTCTAATCGATCATGCAAGGCTTTTGCTTGGATGAACGTTGATATTTAAGATCAATTAGGCTTCATTCAAGGACGATGAGAGCTTGTTAGGTTTATGTGTATCAACGGATCATTGGCGCCACAATCTTAGTACCGTCATATTTTGGCATTTGAGCGATATCTTTCGCAACTTTCATGAGCGTCATGCAAGTTTGATATTCAAATCAATACCATGAAGAGCATACAAGAAGATACCCAAGAGTATGTATTAAAACTGCTACAGAAATATGGAGCTCCCCATGTTTGACATGCAGAACCACTTTTCCTTTGGATTGTTTTTCAGACTTCTAGTATTGTTTCATAAATGTATGAGACCTGGGAGATGAAGGTGATGTGAGTTGCTTAGCACTTGCGTCGAGGTTGAGTTATACTGGATAAACCTACCAAAAGATAGGCAGTTTTCTTACTTCTCGATATAACACTCCTACAAAGTGCTCAATGGATATAATAACTCGCAGCCTTAAGAAACTGTGATGCTCTCGTCGCATTTAAAAAAAGGAATGTTGATACCAGGTGGACACGCCATCGATGAATATCTATCCACATGTCTTCTAAAATCGCATCACTTATCTTAGACTCAAATGCTTCATTGTTACATCACTTCTTCTTTTTAACAATCTGCCAATGTACAAGAGAGCCGTTAATTTAGTCAAGAGCATTGGGTTTCCCGAGCACCAAAGAATTATATCTTCAATCTTTCAGACAAGCACTCTGATCTTGGAACTATTTCCACGATCGACAGATGTCAAAGCAATCATCCACAGTGCATCTTCATCCTTCATACTCTATCGCAGAATACTGCGTGACCTGTGATGTTTTATCTACTTTTGGGTTTCATCTAATGTACATCCTGCAGTCACATTGCCTTTTGTCTGCTACGATGACTATATATGCCACAAAACGGAGGCGATTCTACAGCGGAAATACTGGGACTATGGCTTTAAAAAAGCTTTCGAGGGTTGTAGAAGGTTTTTGTTGGTGGTATGAGCGCAAATGAGCCTGTCCGAGTGATTTCAACGAGGATAGACTTTATTAGGTATTTTTATCCTGAGGCCTAATATGTATACATATCTAATGTAATTGGCTCGGTTGCTAGAAAGGAGAGAGATGAAGAGAGAGCCGGAAATTTTCCCTTGTTAGTTCAATTATTCGGGAAATAGCAAATATAAACAACAAACTAACCGGGGGAGAATTCAAGGAATCCATGCCTCAACGCATCCAAATCTACCTATAAGAAACAGCGCAACAGCACCGTGTCCAAAGTCTGTATGATATTCCAGGCTTCAGATAGTTCCTGAGTAAGGGGCTTCTCCTCTGCGACAATATCGTCGTCCTACCAAGGTACTAATGGAGGAAGAAACAAAAGTGAGTAGTGACGCGGAAGCGAAAGTCGAGAGAGAAGATGGAAGAGAGAGAGAGCAGTAAAACATAGAGTTTCTTGATTTCATTAAGGATTATGATGAGGCATAGGAGTTTTGTGAGTATTTGGAATATTTGGAGTAGGTTTGATCTTGCACTTTTCACCGGATGATTTTCTCGTTTAAATGCGATAGTATGGTATCACATCTAGATAGATCAGGTAGAAAGAATATTGTTTTTTTTATCTCATCGTCGTTGTAGACTGTTTAATTGTACCTCGACTATAACCGTACATTCATTCACCTTGCGGATGATTTGATAGTATCACGAAATATCCTCAATCCTTCAACGTATATCAAAATTAGTTGAGGACGAATTCAAAGGATAGTTTTAGCAGAGTCGTTGCGGTGATACCGGGCAGTTTTCCATAAAATAGGCTTTCTAATCCTGATATTTCTGATCTGGAGCTGATATTTTATTTCAACTTTACATGTAGGAGTATCCGAACAGGCTGAGGGCTGGCGTCTTGATATTGATATTGATAGGGGAGGGTTACGTAAATTGGGGTGGTTATCTTTCCCCATATTTTCGTGAAAAGTGGAGTTGGGTTTGGAAACGGGATATTGACTAAACCTGCGGGGATTTATCTATATATTCTGTTTACTCAAATATATATGTAGGAGTTTTGCAAGTGACCAAATTAATCAGAAAGATCGAGATTGGAGAGAGATGTCATTGTAATAAGTGAAGATGCAGTATCCTAGCAGAAAGATGAAGACATGCATGGAGGAACGATTTTGGTTCTTCAATTCTATATTCAAGATAGGATAAGAAGGTCTACGAAACGTTATGCCGGAAGTAAACTTCTAACCTGCATGCTGATAAGGTATGATAAGGAAGATTGATTGGTGCGAGATAAAAGATAAGCATTGGATTGTGTTCTTGCGGGCAGTTTTACGACTAGTCTGACGTCGTGACAATGTGATAGTTTCTTCAAATGATATATGTTTTGTTGAATATTTGCTCAATTATCATTTCAAATGGATGCAAAAAAACTCTTGAGATGCATTGATAATGTACCTTTATATACATATATGAAAGATGGAAAGATTCAACGATAGGAATCAGAGGGACATGTGAAGCTGGAGAAACCAAATAAGACCAAATAAAATCTAGACCATGATAAAGATAAAGGAAAGGAAAACAAATCCATCAAGAGAAATCTACCCGATGCCACTTCTTGATAGCAGGGGCTCAAGGCTAAACCTTCCTTATTAAGTATAAGATGTGATAGCTGTTGTACGACCCCTTCGGCCCTATGAGCAAATACGCTTCAAATGAAACCCTGTCATGCCCTCCAGGCGGCAGACAGTTAATAAACGTCCGTTGTACTACATAGATATGCCACGTCCAAGAAATCTTCTCTTGATTCAAAACAATCATCCTCAGATTGAAGATGGCCACTTTGTCACATTCGAAGAGCAACGCATCGGCCCATAATGACCTGATAAGTCGCCCGTCTGTCACAACAGTGTTACCTGCAGGAGATATCGCAAATCTTGAAAGCTTGAGTGCGGATGAAGCTACACTGACGGCTTTGGGTTATAAACAAGAGTTCAAACGAGAATTCTCACTATGGACAACCTTTTGTGTTTCGTTCGCAGTATTGGGATTGCTGCCCAGTTTCGCAAGCACGTTATATTATGGGATGGGATATGCTGGTACTGGAGGAATGGTTTGGGGGTGGTTGATTAGTTGGTTCTTCATTCAGTGTGTCGCTATGGGAATGGCTGAATTGTGTTCGAGTATGCCGACTAGGTGAGTGTTCTTGGATGATGTTCAAAGATGAAAACGCTAAATGTTTCTAGTGGTGGATTATATTATGCTGCTGCGGTACTTGCTCCCCCAGGCTGGGGCCCTTTCGCAGCTTGGATAACAGGATGGTCCAATTGGATGGTACAAATCACAGGAGCACCAAGTGTGGACTATGCGCTCGCTGCCATGGTTCTTGCTGCGGCCTCAATCACCCATCCCGAGTATGAGCCAACCAATTATCAGACATTCCTATTGACGGTCCTGATCATGATCATTCATGCATGTATATCAAGTATGCCAACATTATGGATTGCGAAGTTCAACTCGTTTGGATCGACATTGAATATGATAGCTTTGTTGGTGGTAATCATCATGATTCCAACGTCGGTTACCGGGACTGCCACAACACCTAAATTCTTTCCTTCGAAGGAGGTCTGGTCCATTCAGAATGGCACTGATTGGCCAGACGGAGTCGCGGTCTTGATGTCTTTTATCGCCATCATTTGGACGATGTCTGGATACGATGCTCCTTTCCATCTCTCGGAGGAGTGTAGCAACGCCAACATCGCAGCTCCACGAGCTATCGTCCTGACTAGTGGGATTGGAGGTCTTATGGGATGGGCTTTGCAGCTTGTTGTTGCTTATACTGTCATCGATATAACCGAAGTTCTTGATTCCCCTCTCGGGCAGCCATGGGCATCGTATCTCGTTCAAGTGATGCCACAGAAGATTGCGCTCGCTATTCTTGCCATCACTATCATGTGCGCATTCTTCATGGGCCAAGGATGCATGGTGGCCGCCTCCCGTGTGACTTTTGCTTATGCCCGAGATGATTGCTTTCCGTGTTCTTGGTGGATCAAGAAAATTAATGAGTATACTTATACTCCAGTCAACGCTGTGTGGTTCAATACAGTCATAGGCTGCCTTCTCTTGTTGTTGATCTTCGGCGGAACAGTAGCTATTGGCGCGATCTTCTCCGTCGGCGCTATCGCAGCCTACGTTGCTTTCACCATCCCTATCTTCATTCGAGTATTCTTTGTCGGGGACAGGTTTAGACCTGGACCATGGCATCTTGGTAAATTGAGTAAGCCAATCGGAATGGCCGCCTCTGCTTTTATTCTTGTAATGATGCCGATTCTCTGCTTTCCGGCTTACAAAGGCAATGACCTTACTGCCTCGCTGATGAATTGGACAGTGGCTGTATACTTCAGTCGTAAGTATCTCTAAATTTTGCTTTATTGTATCCATCTTCGGCGGCTAATAATAGATTCAGCGATGAGTATGGTAATGATCTGGTGGTTTGTGTCAGCACACAAATGGTTCAAGGGACCTGTGATCAATGTCGAGGTAAATTACATACGTCCCATACCAACATTCCAGCCACGAAGGCTAACACGGGTAATCCTAGCATCATATGATGGGTACAGACCCAGAAGAAATTGTGGAAGGAGTCGAGGATAGTTCAGATGATGGAAAGAACAGGCCGAAGTCTTTCGAGACGAAGCGCGACCTGGCAGGGATTCGGGCTCCTATAACCTCTGAAATGACCCAGTGAAAGTGTCTGGGTCTACAAGCATGTTAGCATTAATATATATTGAGACAGTAGGAATGGTAGATGTACGTTGGCACTTAGATCCGTGATTAGTTGTTTTTCTCCTGCATCAATTGCAAAAAAATCATAGTAACGAAAACTCCAATTCCGAATACCATACAGGAGACTGGCTCCATGTCAGTTGTTTTTTGTGGTCCAATTTTTGTTAAGGGCCAAGTAAAGTGCAATGAGGTCTTTGTTGTTGGGGCTTTCTGATAGAGCTTGAAGAGATAGTTGGAGTTAGATGCAAAGTATGAGGACAGAAGGAAGATATACTCTTCACCTCCCGCTGGCAGCGAGATCGCCTTCACCTACAATTGGGATCTACAAAAAAGGCATGCGGGATTTTTGCTTCGTGAGTTGGATATAAAATCCCTCATCATGACAACCCCTCAACTTTCCCAAGAAATTCGCGCGCGAACGATAGGATTTAGTGTAGTTGTACGACAGGCTTTGACTAATGGGAATGAAATCCATCCCACACGGTCTCAGTAACAATATGAAAATAGTTGAATGACGATGGGATATCATGAATAGAGCGGGAGTACGAGGAGGAAACGACGAAAATGTAGATAAAGTCGAGCGACATGACTAAAAGATTTTATGCCCAAGAGGACCCCCACTCGAGGCAAATATGGAAGATTTCAAAACTAGGATAGTGAGAAGAAATAATTGATAATTCCGATAATGGATGTTTTGAAGTTTCACCAAGTTGGAGGATACACTACATCTTCCACTTGCTTGCCCCTCTTGTTCCCATGCATCAGGATATCGACTATATTCGGACCATTGTTCCCACATCCCCACAGTTATCAATTTTCTAAACCAGCTAGGTTCTTAATTCTCACTTGCGTTGCGATAAACAGCATTCATGTGTTAATATAGTCAAGGTAACTCAAGGTAGCGCAAGACAGAGAACGAACAGAGAAATGTGAACTCATGCCTCAATATTCAGGCTTCTACAAAGCAATGTATCTTAGAGTTCGCCTGGCTCTCTTTACCTAGCGTTCAGACTTATAGAACACTTTTAATTTGTTTCCACCCTTCGTAGCATATTGTGGTGCGCTATAAAAACATGATAGGAAGGGTGTGCACATATATTTTTACGTGAGTGGCAAACCCTAGGCACGAATGTCGTTCAAAGTCGTTCGAAAGCCCGAGGGCGGGGATGCTTCCTTGTTATCTCCATCGAATTACGACGACGACGCACCGTCTATACATTCAGAGCGCAGCAGTCAAGATGACGACAGTGATGATGATAAGGTACTTAAAGGGGCACGAACGTCGGCGGATATTAGGAAATACGATCGGGGTGTGTTAGAAGAGGAAGAAGAAAGGGACGAGCTACTGGAGCGGAATCGACAGGGCGGGAAGAGGAGAGGTAGCGCATTGGAAGGAATAAGCTCCGGGCTTAGAGGTCTATGGAGTAAGAGCCATGTTTTGTTACCTGGAGCCGATGATGGAGGCTCCACAGATCAGAACGACAAAGCCGATTCAGAAGACAAACGACGCCAAAGGAGAATTAGAAGGCAGAGAAAGAAAGAAAAATTGATGGAAGATGCAAGTCATGGCGAACCTGGAGAGTTAATGATTGAGATGGAAGGGGGGCGCATGAAAGAAGGCAGTGTGACAGGTTCAAGCAGCGAAACCGATGAGAGTGACGATGTCGATAGACGTGGCTTGCTCAACATACGGGACAAGACAGTACAACGAAAAAAGGCGAAATGGGCTTGGTGCGCTATATACCTTTTGATTGCAGCAGGTTTTGTGGCTTTGGTATTGGTGGCGTGGAAATTGTCGCTGAAGGCACGTTTCACTAAAGTCCACCAAAATATTTTGAGCAATGGCACAGCTTTATTCGCTCCAACAACAATTCTGATAAGCTTAGATGGTTTCCGAGCCGATTTCTTAAAGCGGGGCATCACGCCTAGATTAAATGCTTTTGTGGAGGAGGGGATCTCGCCTGTGTATATGATGCCTAGTTTTCCTTCTGTCACCTTCCCAAACCATTATACATTGGTTACTGGTCTCTACCCAGAATCACATGGAGTTGTAGGAAATACGTTCTGGGACAAGGAACTACAAGAAAAATTCTACTACACCAAATCTGAAGCGATGAACAAGAAATGGTGGGGTGGTGAACCTCTCTGGGTCACTGCTGAAAATCAAGGAATTAGAACTGCCATTCACATGTGGCCAGGAAGCGAAGCACATATTATGGATGTGGAGCCGGCATACTTGGATAAATATAACGGGAAAGAATTGCTGTCGAAGAAAGTCAGCCGAGTACTTGAGCTCCTGGACAAGCCTGGACAGGAGGATAACCAAGCAGAAATAGCTGATACGAGACCTCAACTCATCGCAGCGTACGTGCCAAATGTTGATCAGCATGGGCATCTTTATGGACCAAATAGTACTGAAATTAGGACAACAATATCAGAGGTGGACACTATGCTTGATCAATTGTTCCAAGGACTAGAGGCAAGGAACTTGACAAATATTGTCAACGTTGTCGTTGTTTCGGATCATGGAATGGCTACTACAGACACAAACCGCCTTGTTCAATTAGAAGATATTGTTGATACTAGTCTAATTGAGCACACTGACGGCTGGCCCTTGTATGGACTTCGGCCGAAAGATCCTGCGCACCTTCAAGGCCTTTACGATAGTTTGGCTGCGGAAGCTGCCATTAATCCGAATTTTGATGTATACCTACGTGATGTCAATATGCCTGAACGTTATCATTTCTCCAAAAATGAACGTATCGCTCCCCTATGGATTGTTCCAAAGACTGGTTGGGCAATTGTCACGAAGGATGAAATTGATGTAGTTGAAGCAAAGGCGAAAGGCATTGTCTATCATCCTCGAGGTTTGCATGGCTACGATCATGAAAATCCGCTCATGAGGGCTATTTTCATCGCTAGAGGCCCTGCTTTCCCGCATGAGCCAAATAGCCGCGTTGAACCTTTTCGTAAGTTCTCTACTGTCTTCCTCAGCCAAATCTTACTAATATGATGCAGAAAATATTGAAGTATACAATATAATTTGTGACTCTCTCGCTCTTACACCCAAACCGAATAACGGTACACTACGCCTACCGCTCAAGCCTGTTGGACTCCACTCGCCCGACACATCCCCTCCCGAACCTGCTGACCCAGAGCCTGTTCCTTCGAAATTAGACTCTCCAACGAACGGGACTCTATCTATATCGCAGATTGAAGCTAGCCCTGCGGCAGATCTAGAACCGGTTCCTTCGAAATCAGACTCTTCAAAAAATGGAACTCTATCTATATCGCCTATTGAAGCTAGTTCTGCCGCAGATCCTAATGTGGTTTCTCCACATATGGTAGGTGTTGATACACCAGAAGACTTGGAGGATCCAAATGTGGACAGGCCGGTAGTGGGAGACGAAAGTAGTACGACAAATGATGCAAAGCATTGGTGGGCATGGTTCAAGGGAGAACTGGACGAGTTTAAAGGCTGGGTTTCTGATCTGGCCCATGGAAATGGGAAGAATGAGACTCAAGCGTAATAGAATTGTTTTTAATATTTTTTCGCTGGCCTGGGATATTCTAGGAGTTTGGAAGTAGATTTATACTGGCTGGATAGGGAATTAATCAGGAGGCGCCTAAATTAGATACCATGGTTGGAATTCACGTACAATAGATTTATTGAGACATCGCTTTATGTTTACGAACTGATGAACTGACTTTTAAACTAGCCCATCAAGTGGTTGGTGAATTGGTAAATTATGGTCCTACACAACTAAAAGGAACGTGTTTCCAATGTCTGAAACCGAATTTAGGGCAGAATGCCTAGTACTGCATTGAAATAGGAGCTAGGTATACCTGGGGTAATCTAGGGTAAGACTCATCGATATACTCTGTTTTACCTCTACAGGGTAATCATTCTATGAAATGCCACAGATGCCAGGGTACCTGCAGGTATGTGATACGTGACATTGTATACTGTATGAGCTGAATACTATACAATGTTATATTGTAATATATGTTATCATATGATATCGATCAATCGAGACATAACATTGATTAAAATAACTAGGGACAATTTAAACTTTGGATGATAATATAAGATGATAGCATACATTTGCTTTGCGGTACCCAAATACCCAACAATATTATTGAATAACCACCTCATAAAACCTCTGTGGGGTAGAGTAACCACCCTGTAAAGGTCAAGTACCCCCGGTAGAGTACAGGCGTCCATACCTGGACTCTCAAGCATTCTCCAATTTCCCATGTATAGTTCTTCTCCCGTTTACAGTTAGTTCCGAACCAGTCTGAACTTTAACATTGCCATGGACTGTAAAATCTCCATGAACATGCAGCTTTCCATTGATCTTCACACTACCATTTGCCTTGAAATCACTACTAAACTGAATGTTAGTCCGTATGTCATCACATACACAGGATATCTACTTACCGAACTTCCACATCCCCTCCAATCTCCATTTCACCTCTCGATTCCAATTTCCCCAAGACAATCCTCTGCTTCTCCAACGACTCAACAACAATCTTCCCACTACTCTCCACATTTCCCACCTCCACCGCTCCCCTGATAGTAACGGGCCCACTCGCATCTATCCTTCCTCCAACTCTGACCAATCCTCCCACTCCCTCCAGCAATACCTTGGAACTACTCTTCACATCTCCCTGTACATACACATTCCCTCTCATCTCTACACTCGCACTACTTTTCACAGTCCCCATAATCACTACTCCCCCTTTTCCCTCTCCACCATCTAATGTCACAGATGCACTCGCTTTCACATCGCCGGATACAGTAACACTATCTGATAGATTTATCTTTGCGCTGCCTCTAATGGGACCGGTTACAGTGACGTGGTGATATAACGTGATGGATGAAGAACCAGAGACTGAATCGAGGATTTTGAGGGGTCCGGAAAGGGAAACAGAGCGGGAAGATGAAACGGCGTTGGAAATCGGAATGTTTGGTGTGGCTGTGACTGGTGGGGTGTATGTGGATGTGGAGGCGGTAGAGAAGGAGGGGGAGGGAAGAGAAGAAAAATCTTGTGGGTAGCTGGAGGCGATGGACTGGGTTGGGGTGTCGTATGGCGTGTATGCGGGTGGACTTTCGGTCTCAGCATAGTCTGGGATTTGGACCTTATTATCACATGGTATGAGTACCATTTTGATGATGCCGCTGCGGGAGTTTTGGAGAAATAGAAAGTGTCACGTGGTGAGTTTGATGGGCTGTTGTGGAGGATCTTGGAGATATACGATATTATGCCGACAAATGTAACAAGGTGGATAGACTTGGAAATGGGGAATATCAAATTGATGAATATATAGAGCTAATTTTCAAGATCAATGCTGACGCAAGCGTTTTCAGCTTTCTGTTTGTAGTCAGTCTGAATAGCAGCCTAGTATTATTGTGGCTAACCCATTGTGGCTGGGCAACGTTTATAAGCCATTCTCATTGGTAGGCTCGTATGGTATTTCGAGAGAAGCAACAAATCTGGAATTTACTGGTCGAGGATGAGTATATGTATCATTTTGCGGACTGTGTTTTCTCATATAATGAGATTTTTAATGTGTGACGAGATATTAATATGAATAGCTTCAATTTGATGACTAAGCTATTAGACTTTTTATATATACTGCGGCGTTCACTTCGCGCTAAGACGCCGGATTATGCCGGTTGATCTTTCTGCGCATCACTAATTTCCCCTGCAAACAAAGTAGTTCTTTTCGCGATTAGCCAACTGAGTTTTCCCAAACTGTCATCCCCCATTATTTCAAATATACTGAGGTCAGCTTTCATCTCCTTCGCCAACCAATATCTAAGGTCAACTGCGACGAGAGAATCGACACCATAAGTGTGGATTGACCTTTGTGTTTCAATATCTTCTTCCGGTATGCGCAGAGTTCGGGCTAGCTTTTCCCTGAGCCCAGATGATGCAACCCGAGCCGCTGCGGCAGCACTCGTACCTGCAGCTGCAAATGCAGCTTTGTAGTCTACCTCTGACAGTCTTTTTTTGCTCTCGGATACGCTTCCTGTGTCAGATTTGGATGCATCAAGACCTTCCATGGCAGCGAGGTTACGGAACAATGGTCTTCTAACCCAGCGAGCCCAGTCTTCTGCATCATGAGCCTCTTCTGCAGTGTCCAACAGAACCTTCGGTATTTCCAGCCCTGTAATTATCTGTGACTTCAGCGGATCCTCCATCATGGGCAGACTGGGATCACATAGATAATCTAGTATAGCGAGATATTCTTTTTCATGAATACCGCGGTAACCTAGCTTCTTGATAGCGAGGAGCGTATCCCGATTCTCAGCCGCAAATCCTACACCTTGAATAAGACCAAGGTCTAGCGAAACGCATTTGAGGCCGCGGGAGACTCGGTAGCGCGCAAGTGCATCTTGATATGTGTTCCCGCTGGCGTAGTTTGACTGTCCACGGGTACCAACAATACCTCCAGCAGACGCGAGAAGGATGAAAAAATCTAGTGAGTCGGGAAGATGTTTATGCAGGTTCCAGGAGCCCTGGACTTTCGGTCGAACAGAGTCTTGGTAGTTTTCATAAGACATACTTTCGAAGAGGCCATCCTGGTTCAATATTTGTTAGTTTTGCATACCTGATGTGGAAAAAGATGTCTGACATACCCTTAGGACCATTGACCCTTGAATACAGCCCTTTATGGGTGGCATTGTCTTTGAGCACATGTCGAGGACAGCTAATAATGCAACTTCATCAGTTACATCGCATGGTGGTGCCGCGATGGCAATACCCTTGAGTTCCATCTCCGCGACGAATTCCAATGCAGCTTGACTCGTCGCACCTGAGCGGCCGAGGAGAATGAGATGCTTTGCACCTCGATCAGCCATCCAGGTAGCCGTACTCTTGCCCAGTCCGCCCAGTCCGCCAATGATGACGTAGCTAGAATCTTCACGGAAGCTGTACGTTGGCTGAGAAGATGGCACTGCTGTTATAATGTCATCGCTGCGCATCTCTACGACCGTCTTGCCGGTACTCTTGCCACTTTGCAAGAAACGGAAAGCATTCTCTACTTCTGAAGACCCGTAAATTTTGAGAGGGCTCGCTGCACTGATCAGGCCTTTAGCTAATAGGCTTTTAACAGACGTCATTAGCTCTTCTATCAGGGACCTCGATTCATTGAGAATAAAAGCAAGATCCATTGTACAATATGTGTTGTTTTTGGTGAACAGCATTCGTGGTAGATCTTCCAGATTCCTCTTGTCGTTCTGGGAAACGTCTATTAATCGTCCAAAGGGTTTGATAACATCAAAAGATCTGCGGATACCCTCCACATTAGCAGAATTGAGAATAACATCCACTCCGTCTGTTAGCTTTTTGAGTTTTGTTACAACGGAAGCGCCTCGACCAACGAACACATTTTGCTCTGGAATCTGATACAAACTGCAGAGAAGTTCCTTTTTCTCCTGGCTACCAACGGTGCAATATATAACTGCTTCGGCCGTTCTTGCCAATTGGATTGCCGCTTGACCAACACCTCCAGCTGCGGAGTGTATAAGAATAGATTCCCCCTTCTTCAACTTTGCTAGGTTGACTAGACTATGCCGAGCAATGCAAAAGCTCACCGGTATGGCCGCAGCAGTGGTAAAAGAAATGCTATCCGGGATCTTGAATACTTGCGAAATGGGCACGTGAAGCTTTGTTGAGAAGGCACCAGCAGCGACACCACATATACGATCTCCACTCTTCAAAGTCTCTTCTGGAACATCAGACCCAACTCGCACAACAATGCCGGAAAATTCTAGACCCAGGTAGTTGCCGGGTATTTGCCCTAAGGCGATCTGTACATCTTTGAAGGTCAATCCCGCGGCTTTGACATGTACCTCAATCTGATCTGGTGATAGCTCCTTCCTTCCCACCTCCCCCTCCTCAAATCGTAGTGTGTTCAATAATCCTGGATTGTGTATTGCGAGTGATATTTGGGTATCTGGCTTGGATCCTAACACTCGCTGTTGTGGTTTTTGCGTTGCAGTCCTTGCGGTCAAGTGGGTGTTGAGGTAATTAGCTTCAACTACACGGTTAACATAGAGGATTCTATCCTTCTCCCAATATTCATTCTCGTTACGTTCGATTGGATCAGAGTTGATGGATTTTCTGAGGACATTCAGTGAGTGCTTGACAATTGTTTCAGTTGTGCAGTTTTCTTCGAGGGCAACTTCAACGAAATTAAGATGAGGGTATTCAGAGCGAAGGCCTCTGGCCAATCCAGTTATCATTCCTAGTGCTGGGTCATTTTCTGCTCCGCGAGTCAACCATAATACACCATTAGCGGATCTGACAATCGTCTTAAGCCGCTCCCATTCGTCATCTGTTATGTTGCACAGGAACGGATTGTCAATCTCAAGGAGGGAGATGCAAACCGAGTCTTTGAGATCCGCGGAAGTAATCTCGTTGCAACCAATCACATCTGTTGATATGCCATGGAAGATTAATGCAGATCTCAAGTATGCGACAAGTGGCGTTTCTTTTTTGTATCTTTCCGCAACAACGATGACTGTCTTCGGTATTGGTGGTAAGATGTTGGAAATTTTATCGCCAGCGGGTTTTGATATAATGACGCTCATGGTGTGTCTATGATCTTCGAAGTCTCGAAGACATATGTCGGCCCCAGTGAAACCGGCATTCTTCAGTTCGCTGCTCCAGGTGTCGTCTGACATTAATGGGCCCCAAAATCGATGTTCTTCGGTACTCAACCACCAACCTGGGAGTAGCCCGAATATGAACGGAATTCGCAAGGCTTCCAAATTGCACGGTTCAATGATGAGCAATGTACCATTACTGGAAAATCAGTGTCTGTTGGTATAAGGGTATTCAGAAGATACATACGGCTTTAACATTTTATGCACATTACCAAGAGTATTCTCGAGATTAGCCGTGGCGTGCAGGACCTGTCTCCAGTAAATACCAAAACGCTTTAACAGTTCTCTGTGAAACTTACAGCAGAGGCAACCACAACATCATATTCGCCAACATTAAGTCCTTGTTCAATTGGATCCTTTTCAATATCAAGGACCTTAAACTCCATAACATCAACAAAGTCGCTGAAGCGTTGCGAGGCAGCTTCGAAGAATCCCGGGGATATATCAGTGTACGTGTATTTACCCAGTCTAGGCTCACCTTTTTCGTCGTTCCCGTGTTTTCCCAATTTGTCCAGGATTGAAGCAGTGCTTCCTCCAGTACCTGCACCAATTTCGAGGATTTTCAACGTTGGATCTTTGTGGGCCAAAAGATCAATGTAGGTTGATGCCTTTTTATTGCTGGGGACGAATGTCAAGCCTCCATAGAACCCTTTGGCAAGGTCATCGTTGAAGAGAATACCTAGTGCATCGACATCACCGATGAGTATCCTTGCCAGATTCTTGCCTACTTCGTTAATTAAATCCACCTCCGCGCCACTTTCAAGCTCTGATGAAAGCATCTGAAAATATTCTTCATCACTCAAGGATGGCTTGTTTTCTTCTGGATTAGGGATCGGATTTGCGGATGTATAATCATCAACTTGCTTTCTCATCCATTCGATGTACTTGGAAGTATGATGGCTTTCGCCAGAATACGCTCTTCGGTTTAATTCCTCCAGTGCATGATAGATGTAGAAAGTACAAAGTAATTCTGCTTTATCTATAAATATGGGGTCATGGAAGTCATCTTTATTGACCGTTGCACAACAAACAGTGGAGCACTCTTCATCTGTGAGCAAATCCACAGCGGGCTTCCAGTCAATATCGAAAGCTAGACGAGCATCACCTGCACTAGATGGCTCCAAACTCGTGATTGCTGTCGCTCGGTACCCCTCGAGAACTATTTGACATTCATGTGCAAGATTGTCAAACGCCACAACGCTAAACTCCGTATCTCGATAGCCCTGGAAGGTTGGATGAGTGAAAATCTGAATAGTCTGGTTTTCGGCGTGAAGTAACAAATCGTTGGAGATCCACAGCTTCTCAATTTTCGTCGGCACCATTGTCCGTAAGGGATTGGATGTTCCTTTGGACTCAGCTGCTGCTGTGAGATGCATGACGGCATCGAGAGCTGTGGGATGTATCACGTGGTCGAGAGTAATGTGGCTGTCTTTTACCTTTTTCATCCATTCCCGCGGTTCCAGACAAGCGGTTGCTTCGCATTCGTTATTCCAACGCACCTGCTTGAGTGCTTGGAAAGTGGGCCCGAAACCAAAGCCAAAGGATGCGAGATTTTCATAAAGATCTTTCGAATCAAGAAGACGTGTGCAGCGAGCAACTCCATTTTTCCAAATCGAATGAAGATGGTCGTCGTTTCTCGGGCCTAGTATTTCTGCATCATTTACTTCTTCATACTCCGTCACAATGGTACCACAACATATCTCTGCCCACTGTCCCGATGAACACAGATAGAGGTTGAAATGCTTACGATCCGATGAATTTGTGTTGTCCTTTGCAGGGCGAAGATGGAATTGAGTCTCAACACCTTCAGCATCAAGACTTACTAGCAAGGCTTTGAAAAATGACACATTCTCAATATTGTAGCTGGCAATTTTTGAGTTTGGTCTAGCCGTTTGTCGTGAGGCTTCAATTGCCATCACGAGCATACCAGCTGCTGGATACAGTTCCGAGCCGTTGAATTTGTGGTCTTTGATCCAAGGAAGCTCCGAGACTCTAATCATATTTCTCCACTTTGCTTCTAGTGGATTCCAGTCTGTCGTCCGAACACCCAGAAGCTCGTGCCGTGGGAACTCGCTAAAGCGGTAGTTTTCGCTAATTCTACTTTCCAGCCAGTATCCCTGTGAATGATTGAATGGGTACTCTGGAAGGTCGCACAGAGGCTTGAGATCGGCCTCTACTCGCTGAGGGCAATTTAGTGCAAGGATATCGCTCTTGTAGCCACGACAATGTAGCTTTCCCACCAGGTCCATCATCGATCTGATGGCATTTACGCCATTCCTAAGAGTTGTATCGTATGATGCCTCGCTCAGAGTGTCATCTGCGAGAATTGTTTCATTCACAGCCCTTTGGAGTGCTGCATGAGGCCCAACCTCTACTAGGCACAGAGGAGCAATTTCTGTCTGCTCGGGCTGCACTCGCAACAACGTCGCACAAAGCTCACTAAGCGCAGGGGCGAATTTGACTTGCGATACCATGTTCTCTACCCAATAATCTGGTTGGGAAAGTCGATCTGATGTAGCGAGTGCTCCAGTAACTGAGGAAAACATGGTTGGGAATGCTTTCGTAGTTAGCGATACCTCTCGGGGAACAATTCCTCGAATACATTTTAAGTATTCGGAGGCAATTTCCTGCATATGTGAAGAATGGTATGCGACAGGAACCTGCAATTTGCGTGCGAAAATCCGTTGCGTGTTCATGAGAGACTTCATGAGATCTACGCACTCCTCATCGCCTGTGAGTGTGATGTTCTTGGGACTGTTGACACAGCCAACAACCAATCGCTTGGGCCCTAGTTGAGCAGCCACTTGGTCTAGGTATGATACAATTTCTGCCTCCGATAAAGCAACAGCTATCATGGCGCCATTGCGTCGCTTCTTTTGAGCCAGTCTATTTGCCAGAGCGCCCCGATGATACGCGATCTTGTACGCCGATTCTTTCGATATCCCTCCGGCACAATAAGCCGCGGCAATTTCTCCAGATGAGTGCCCCACAACTGCATGTGGGGAGATGTTCCACTCTTCTAGGAGTTCAACTAGAGCTATCTGAATGACTGTGCAAAGTGGCTGTGCCAGGGCGGGATTGTCGACGTTGGATGAGTCTTTACTTCGCTTGAGCTCCTCTTAGCGCATGTTAGCTCAAACTCCCACCTTTCAAGAAAGAATCGCAGTTAAACATAGCTTACCAGTAAGTTTCCATGCACAGCCCAAGGAAGTGGTTAAATATTTCTCAGCATGGCTCAGAACTTTTTGGAACGTGGGGTAAATCATTAACTCTCTTCCCATAGCATACCACTGTGCTCCTTGTCCAGTAAACACAAAGACTAGATTTGGCTGAAGTGAGGCGGATGAACGAACTGGTTTGGACAAGCTTCCAGCAGACAGTTCATGGTGAATGTTTTCGATAGAAATCGCAACTAGGAAAGACTTCCATGGCAAGTTGCTTCGTCTTCTTGAGAGTGTATACGCTAAGTTATCAAGAAAATCGGCCTTTTCACTATGTAAAGTTTGGAAATACTTCTGGTAGCTTGTGGAGAGTCGACGCAGACCACCTTCATCGGATGCTGACCAGACAAATAATCTATATTTCTCAGGATCCGTTGTCTGGATTTCTGTGCCATTATTTGTGCCGTTTGTCGTGCCGTAAGTTCTGCCATTAGTCGTACCGTTGCTCATGCCATTTGTATGTATGACCTTTGGAGGCGAAGAGACCGTCTGGTGCTTGCCAGCGAGCTTACGAGATTTCAGGTAATGATATGCATCATCAACAATCACATGAGCATTCGCACCTCCGTAGCCGAACGAGTTTACGGATGCTCGACGAAGTCCTTCCTTGGGCCAGGCCATTGTGTCTGTTGGAAACTAAGCAGCTTATAGTTAGCTCAATCACAAACAGATTCATATATAGATTTATGTGGGTTACTAACCTTAAGTTTCCATTCATCAGCTAGGATCTCGGGGTTAAGCTTTTCAAACCATATGTTGCGTGGTATCACTCCTTTTTCCAAGATAAGAATCGTTTTAATTAGGCCGGCGAGACCAGATGCTCCTTCTAAGTGACCAATGTTGGATTTTACTGCTCCTACTACCAAGGGCTCGTCTACATGGTCTTTGAAGGCAATCCCGATCGCTCCGGCTTCTCTAGGGTCTCCAATTGGCGTCCCGGTTCCATGCGCTTCGAAGAATCCAGTGTCCTTGAAGTCTAGCCCTGCTCGATGGTAGGTTTCTTGTATCAGGGATGCTTGAGCCTCTTTGCTGGGCTGCGTGATACCAGGAGTCCTGCCGTCTTGGTTGGTCCCTGTGTTTCTAATGACAGCTCTGATTATGTCATTGTCTTTCAATGCTTGCTTAATTGGCTTTAGCACCATCACGGCTGTCCCTTCTCCGCGTGCATACCCGTTGGCACGATGGTCGAAACTGTAGCAGACGCTATCTCTTCCCAAAAAACCTAGGTTGGACAATGGTATCGAATTTGTGTCGGGGTTCAACATCAAGTTGCATCCGGCGACAATCGACATGTTACTTTCTCCCGATCGTAGATTATCGACGGCCAAATGCAGTGCAACTAGACTGCTTGAGCACGCGGTATCCAGAGAAATGCTGGAACCCCGCAAATCGTAGAACCAGCTCAATCGGTTTGCCAGCATGGCTGTCCCTGTTCCAACAGCTACGTACTTCGCTTGCATTTGGGGGTCTCTGTTGATCATAGCTTCGTACTCTCGTGAAAATGAGCCCACATAACATGACGTGCGTGAGCCAATTATAGAAGCCATAGGCATTCCAGCGTTTTCCAATGCGTGGTATGTGCATTCAAGAAGACTTCTTTGCTGGGGATCCATACATACCGCCTCGGCAGGCGGCATAGAGAAGAAAGGCGCATCAAACAGAGAAATATCCTCCTTGAGGAAATGCCCGCCTCTAGCGTTCATCTAAGTCGCATCAGTATAAATTCTAGTTCAAGGGAAGAAAACCTTGGGAGATCGTGGCGGATCTATTCCACAGCTTGACTTACAGAATCATGTCTGTCTGCACTGGGGTGATAGAAGGAGTCAATATTCCAACGATCTTTGGGCACATCCGTCATTGCAGACCGTCCATCAACCAACATCTTCCAGAAATTCTCCGGTGTATCAGCATCTTGCGGGAAATTGAGTCCAAAACCGACCACAGCAATAGCTTCAAGCTGATCTTCCTGTGATTCATCTGGAGTCATTGGGATGAAGCTATTGGCTTCTTCAACTGTAAGTGATTGAGGCATGTCGTCGTGTTTATTACTCTTACATGGATATGATTGTTAATAGAGTAAACACTGACTGGGAATTTGTAATGTAGGTTTTCAGTCTGAAAGGCTCTAATATGAAAAGCTCATATAGAAGATCACAGTCTAAGACACAGTCCTGATAAAGAGCTGCTTTATTCTTCCGAGTTCATTCACAAAACACCAACCCAAGTCATTGCAAGTTAGCAAAATACACAACCCTAGAGTTTCTTCAATTGGTGCTGGTCTTACTCTGCGCCGCGGCGGAAACCCCCCGGCAGACGTTTAGAAGCCTAAGCTTAGAAGCTTATAGTACATTTAATTAGTAAGTTCGGTGTCTGAAAGGGGCTTCTCGATGGGACATAGTACCAGAATGTGGCGAGGTGCATAGTGGTTGTTGATCATCATAGTAAGATTACTAGAATGTGACAAGGTGCGTAATGCTTGTTGATTATCATATAGCCAAAATTCTTTAATCGCTCTGCCACACCGGGTTGCAGAAGGATCTAATCCAGATACGCGCTATAGATTTCGACGTCTCGAAAAAGCCCCAAGTAATCCTCTAGATCCTTCAAAGTTTCGAGATTTTACCTTTCATTCACTAGTTTTAGCAACTATATTCTATTGTCATATCTTAATCACTTGCCTACTCAAATATATTTACGCCATCGGCATTCAAAATCGTTCCGCTCGTCATACTATCATGACTGTCGTTCCACTTCAGCCCAGTGGGGAAGAAGCCCTCCGGGTTTCCTCGTCCATGATTACCTTGGTGTTTATCGCATTGATACTCCGCTTCATTGCACGGTTCAAAGCCAGAGCAGGATTCCTCCTAGAAGATGGCCTCGCTCTTCTTGCAGCAGCTTTTTTCTATGTTGATCAAGGATTGTTCCTATATGGTGAAGATTTCCCGCCACAGGTTTCCAGAACATGCGCTAATATCTACATTCAAGCCGTCCTCGGAAAAGGCTCTTCTGGAGGGTCTGATGCCAGATTGATGCTTCTCCCTCAATTGGACCGATTTTTTAGGGTTCGAAAACTTGAAAGGCTGAGTAGAGTCTCAAAGCTGACATTGACGACAGATTCTTTACATTGAGGAAATAATATTCGTCATTACCATCACGGTTGTCAAGCTTTCAATTTTGACTTTCTATCGCCATATATTTACCACCCGCAAATTCAAATTTTTGACTTGGACTTTGTGCGGGATTTGTATCGTCTGGGCAATTGTTTGTATCTTTGTCGTTATTTTCCAGTGCAAGCCTATTCACGCATTCTGGAAATTTGAATTGCAGCTTACTCCAGGGGCTGCCAAGTGTATGCCATCCGGCCAAGTTATTCTTGGATTCGAGGTTTCGAACCTCTTAATTGATTTTCTAATTCTGTCTTTGCCTGTGTATATGGTACAAAAGCTTCAGCTGAAGACATCGAGAAAGATCAGTATCATTGGTATCTTTCTCTTGGGTAGCTTGTAAGTATCGACACCTACATTCGCATGATGACTGCTAACGAGCCTGCAGTGTTTGTATTACCTGTATAGTCCGGGCATACTTTATCTTTGACCCCAAAACAAAACAACCTCGTTAGTTCATCATCTTCTAATGAATGCGGTGAGACTAACTTCACCGAAGGATCTTTACCCGCAGCAATGGATTGGACAACAGTTGAATTAGCCTCAGCTATTCTTTGCGCTTGTCTGCCTACTTATGGGCCCCTTCTCAGCGGCATAGATATCACATCATCAACCGTCAAATCTTGGTTTTCATCACTTATTGGTAGTAAGCGCAATTCCCAGAACTCGAAGGCAACCAATCCAAGCTCCAAAAGCAACCATTCTCGGTACAATCAGCTTGAAGATTCTCTAAACAAATCGCAAAAGTTTCGAACCAATAGTAAGCCGTCGACAAGTGAGGAGCATTTGCATGCCGGGGGTGATTATCAAATGAATAACATTATGGTTGAAAGGAGCGTTGAAGTGGTATAGTGAAGCTTCAAGCAAGGCGCGATAATTTCTTGGTTTAGTTTAGGGATAAGTGTGCTTGGGCAACAGTATGGTAATGGAAGGGCACGAAAAGTGTAAGGCATATGAAGGAAATGAAAGGTGGAAATGAATGGGCTGGGTGGTGTGCGGGGTAATCCATCTGGTTGGTCTATGCATATTCCTAGAACATGCATAACTCTTCCTGCCCTACTACCCCAAAAATATAAAGGAGGTGAAGTCCAATTGCGCAAGCATAGTCCAAAGTGCACGCATGCGCATATGCATATTCTGTTTTGGTGTCGCTGGATGTATAGGATTGTCTCACAACCTCTAATATCTGACTTCTTTAATGGCAATTCAAGGCGGTAATGAGGTGCATTGAGTACGTATACATGTGTAAATCATGCGCACGAGGCTAGATTTGAGTAAGGCATACGCCGTGCTGAGCCTCTTAAGTGCAGTATTTTAGCTTTCCGGGCGTAACCGGTCGAAGTTTAGCAGTTTTAAGTGATTTTCTTTAAAACAACAATGCAACATCAGACGGGCTGGAGGCCGAAAATCAAGGTGAGAGCCATAATATGCAGCCAATGATACAACCCAAGACGGGCTTACAAAGCTCTACAGTTGCAGCCACCCACTATAGCTTGTGCATTGGAAGCGCCAATACGGCGCTGTGTAGTAGAAAGCCGAGAGTGTGAAAATCCGCTGACGCGTATTTCAGCATCAAGTGAAGGATCAGACAATCAATCTCTCCATATTTTTGGACTATGTAATACAATTTGTGATGAAGTTATCAAATGGACATCTACCGAAGCACTACTCGGCCGGTAAGCTGCTGATCTGAGCTGCATATGCAAAGCTCACTCAGCGCTATACTTAGCTCTGAATTAATGCGAGTAATATGTGCAGGGTCCACAATATAGTATCTTTTTGGGGCAATCTAGGACATTATTCCTCGCTTCTACCGTATAGTCGTTTACTGTAATATAATATATCAATAATTGATATATTATCTTAATAGAATTAGTTTCGTTTTAAATAATTTAATTATATTAAATATTTATTTAAAACAAATATTCAGTATATAATTTTTATTATTTAGTTTTCAAAATTAAATTTTCGATATTATAATATTTTATAATCAATATTCAATATTCAATCTTTTATTGAAAATGTCACACTCAAGAATACTGGGTAAAGTATCTTGTATTAGAAAATACTAAGCTAAGGAGAAAAGAAGAAGGAAAACAAGAGTAGAGAGTTTTCCTATGATTAAATACAAACGGGGCATGCCACGTGACCCGGAGGTGTGAGGCGTCACAGAAAATTTATAATATATGATAGAAAATCATGATACTATATTAGAAAATGAGGAATCATGTCCTAGATTGGCCCAAAAGACGTCACACACAACATGTTTATTTACTCAAGATACATCGGCTTTGCCAGTCAAAGCCGAGATGGGAGTGATTCGACGCTGCGCCGCACTAAACCAGATGTCAAAGTGAGCCCCTGCCCTGTGCTACACCCCCTCAATACACACCGAGAAGTTGCCGATCCTAAAAGACAAACGAACTCTCAGAATAAGAGCGAGGCTGATCAAAAATTTAGAACAATCGAGAGACTATCAATTGCAAATAAAACACCAAGTGAGAAATCATCACTTTCCAAGACGCTATGTCTTCACCAATCTCCGCTTCCCCGTATCAAGCCTCGCGCCTCACCCGTCAGCCATTCAAGCTTCTCTATACTACTTTTACTCTTATCACTTTACCACTCCGCATCTCCGCTATCCTACTTTACTACATTCCAAAATTTACACGCCAGCATCCAAAATGGACATACCATCAAGCTGTTGGAACTTCCATCTTTTCCATCTGGTGGCATTACACTACTGCTGTCGAATTCCGCACTGCCAAAACTCTCAAACCTGGTGGTGAAAAAGACCGCTTTGTGATAATTGACCCACCATCTACCACCGCTACTACTACTTCCCCAGCACTGTACCGCGGTATTATCGACAGTAATCCAGCTATTCGACCTATCCCCATTGGGGCGGTGTGGTTCACTTCTCCTCCGCCATCAGGCGAAACTCCAAAGATGGTTGTCATTCATTTCCATGGCGGAGCATATGTTCTCGGTGGAGCACGACAAATGGAAAGTGGCTGGGGTCCCGAAGTTCTGAGTAAACGTATTGGATATGTCCTGCAGGTGCAATACCGACTTGCCATTGAACAGAAATCATGTTTCCCTGCTGCGATTCAAGATGGTATTACAGCGTACAATTATGTATTGAATACACTTGGAGTAAAGCCCGAGAATATTGTACTATCGGGGGAATCTGCAGGGGGAAATCTAGTTTTGGCAATGCTGCGCTATTTTTCTACAGATGGCAAAAATGCTCTTCCTTTTCCAAGAGCAGGGCTATGCTGGAGTCCTTGGCTGGATATGACAACTGATACAAAAGAGCTTGATAAACATCCAAGTATCAAAACGGATTATGTTTTTGGCTCACTTATAGCATGGGGTAAAAGATGTTACATTCCTAAGGATTTATCTCCTGGACATCCATACCTCAGTCCGCTAGGGAACGAATTCGAATGTCCAGTTCCAATTTTTGTACAGACAGGCACAGCAGAGGTCCTATATAAGGACCATGTGCGATTTGTTCAGAGAATGAAGGAAAAGGGATGCAAAATTGAGTTATTAGAGATTGAGAATGCTCCACATGATACTTTTGGGGCAGGAATCATCTTGGGGTTTGCGAAAGAGGCAGAAAATGCTGCTGATCAAGCAGTAAAGTTTGTTCAAGAAGCCGGTAGTGAGCTGGTGGATATATCTCCTGCAGCCGACAATGCTAAGAGAATGCGAAAGGTGTTATGAGAGATATGGATATGTTCATATGTAGTGCATTCTGCCAGCACTTAGCTTAAATTAATTTTAGTTTCGCGATTGGCTGATTGCGAGGCGTACCACATCACTAGCAAACAAATTGTTTGCGGATATTATGCGTGAAAATTTTGACATTCAACATATACTAAAAATCTACACTTGGTAGGTAGACCGCCGCTGGAAAAGCAGAAAAACGGCGCAGTATTAACCCATTATACTGTGTGTCTTACAAACACACCTAATATAAGCGTAATCTCCAATACAAAAGCAGGGATATCCGCGGAATATCTATATATACCCCCTCAATCCCCCGTCCGTCTCACCTTGCTCCAAGGCAAGCTGTACCTTCCGGTCCCTATTCTGTCTGAACTTCATTCTATACACGACAATGTCTCGACTAAGCCAAAAAGTAATCATAATAACCGGATCATCATCTGGACTCGGTCGAGCTATCGCCCTCTCATGCGCTCGAGAAGGATGTAAACTGGTCGTCTGTGCTGATTTGATACCTTTTCCAACAAGAGTTACAGCTCAGAATACCTCGATTGAAAAAGATTCCACAGATACTAAGATTGATCTATCACTATATGACGATGATAAGCTCAAAAAGGGCAATATGGAATACACTCATGATCTGATTTGCGCGGAGTATGGAGAGGCAAAGGCGGTTTTTGTCAAATGTGATGTTACTGTGTATGTATGAGTAAAAGCCTTAGATATTGCGCTAAATCTCGTTCGTCATTTGGTTACTAACGGGAAATATTCCTAGGGAAGAAGAAGTGGAAAATGTTGTGAAAGTGGCAGTAGAAAAGGGAGGTCGATTGGATGTGTATGTTTTCAAACCATTCTGCTCAGCTGGCCATAACCTTCGATTTGAGTCAGAATTGTAGACTGAAAACTAGCTAACCACCTACCTACTTGCAAATAGGATAATCAACAATGCAGGTACAGGATCCGATGGATGTTTAATGCACGATCTTCCAAGTGAGAGATTCGAGCAGATAATGTAAGTCAAAGGACCTATTTAGCATTTCATAAAAGACAACTATTTCGTTGTCACATCTGCGGAGTTAAAGAAAAACATACTCTGCCTATCCAGCTCACACCACATCACTCTCCCATCACCAATTCCACGCAAGAGCTAAACTTTTCAATCCCCAGGAAACTCAACACCCAAGGTCCATTCAACGGCTGCAAATACGCTCTTGCTCAATTCCTCAAGCAAAATATCGACAATCACGGCCACAGAGGTCATATCGTGAATATTTCCAGTGCGGCAGGATTGGCAGGAGTACGATATGCAGGTTTGTGAAGCCGCATTTTTCTTTCCCTTTCCACTTTGAAAATTAGCGGTGCAAGAACACTGCTAATTATGATGAAAATGTTTTGATTTAGCTGCATACTCGGCATCAAAAGCAGCGGTTGTGGGAATGACGAAGTCTCTTGCTATTGACTATGCGGAGAGTAAGATTATTGTTAATGCTTTGTGTCCTGGATGTATGTTACTTAGCTGGTCCTGGAATTTCCTTGTGTTCTTTCTACATTTTATGCCTTTTCTGTGCTATGGTTTTCTTCATCTCATACTCCTTTCCCCCCTCCATCTCCTCATCCCACCCTACCCCGACTAACCCTCTCAGTCTTCAACAGCGCCATGACTCAACACCTCTTCTCCAACGATATAGCAACCAGCTACATGAAATCCGTAACACCGTACTGGAAGAATGAGGGTGGTAATATCGAGGATATCGCCAAGGCGGCGCTGTTCTTAGCTAGTGAGGATGCGGCGTGGATTACAGGAACTGCATTGGCTGTCGATGGAGGATTTTCTGCTTAGATAAAGGGGTTTCAGAGATAGATGTTACAAATGCTTTTCTTCTGAGTCACGTGGATGTGACCAGGCTCGCTGGATATCAGTAGTCCAAGAACTATTGGTATGTTCGTAGGGTTTAGTGTTGATAACTTGCAATTGCACACAGGGACTCGGGGTTGAAAAGTAGTAAACAGTAAACGGTATTTACTATTTAAGTTGGCTGGGATCGCTAGTAAAATCACGTGATAATTATCACCTGATTCTTTTTCTTCCATGGTTTGTTTTGTTTGTTTTCGTGCTCAAGATCAGTCATTTAGTATACTCTACTATTAGTTACGAATTGCATATCATTATTGTCATTACTTTAAGTCCCTGCTTGACGCCTAGTTATAAACTACCTCGAGAGCCTAGAGCACTTCCACGTGATCTAGACGGCTCGTAACATAGTCGTGGTTCGTGACAACAGGGGGATTTTATGGAAGCACAAAAAAATGGCTAACCCTAGCCCCCCGAAGCTCTCCCAATCCCTTGTGGACAGAGCAAATGCCCTTACCACCAAAGCCAATGAGGCCCAAACCATCTTTGGCCCGATTACCACCCTCTTGGACAGTTATTTGAGCTCTAACGAGGTCCTCTCTTCCTCCGCGAGATCTCGAAAACTCCTCACCGCTCTTTGCCTCGATTTCAAGGCAACTACGGAAAGATACTTCGATGTACTCATTGCTGGGCACTACCCCCCCCGCCCCAATACCACCATTACCACGCCCACTGTCATGCCCACTGCCACCCCTCTCGCTTCCTCCCGTACAAACTCTCTGACAGGAGAACCGACTCCCAAGCCTTCTTACGCACAGAAAGCCCAAAATACCCCAGACACACCCAACCCCACCCCCCAAAAAACCTCAACCGGCCCCACTAATATGAAACCATTAGCTTCTCCAACAGATAACCATTTGTTTGTAAAAATTGACCATTCTCATCCAGCCCGAAAAGCAGGAACCTTCGTTATTCTCATAGCATTAAAGAAAGTCCTTGGCCCCGCCGCCTCTTTATTGAAAGAAGTACAGGAAGTCAAAACAGGCTTCGCCCTCTGCACCAACTCCCCTACTAATCTTGCGGCTCTAAAAACTAAAGAAACTATTATTGTTACTGTCATAGGTAGCTGCAAAATCGAGACCCAAGAAAAATGGGCAACCTACCGACTCAACTATATCCCCCGGAACGTTACGGTATTTAACGATTCCTTTGAAATGGATTCCATCCCAATCACAAAAGAAGTTATCCACGAAGCTATAAAAGAATACTCCAGCCAAGAACTAACTCATGCTATACAAACACAAATAAGCATAACAGCTGATTTGTATTATTCCACCTGGATAGTCTGCTTCAAAACAGATGCAATTGTATTGAAAAAATCACTAAAAATCCTCGGAGCCAACATTCCGGCCATATTACTGATCCAAAAGACGAAAACGATCCAATACAACCGTTGTTTCCAATAGCATAACTCCAGATCCTGTTCCAGACCCCAAACTTGTCGATTATATAGCTCAACCAAATATACCGAAAACAATCACATTACCAAATACAGCACTGCACACTCCTGCCCTGCCAAATGTCTACACTGCTGTGGACCACATCCAGCAGACGACCCCAAATGCCCCCTTCGCCCCGTTGCTAATAAGATGAAATCCAAATCGGAACGTCAATCGATCCGGAAAATCTATACAGAAGGCCGTGCCTTAACCTATACGAAGACCGGTTGCACCAAATCCCAAACCCCAGACGCCCAAATGGAGGATTCCTCGAACTCCTCCATAACTCCCTCACCCCTCCTACCCAACCCCGCCCAAAAACCCCTACCCGACTTTTCGGATCCACCCACTCTGCTGCCCCCCCCAGTACCCACCCCGCCAATCGATTCCTAAGCATTGTAGACCCATTCGTTATCTTATTTAATGAATCAAACTAAATCTTTATCTATTACACAATCAAATGTAGGCAAAGGAGCAACTTCACACGAACTTGCTCTTGCTCTAGCAAACTCGGACCAAACCGACATTATCTTGATCCAAGAACCATACATATTCTCTGATACATCAAGAAAAATCACTAAATCTCACTTTTTCTACGAAATCTTTACCCCCCTCAACGATTGGGAAACCATCCCCCGTGTCCTTACATATATCAAAAAAGACGTCGGCTTCCGAATCAACCAACTTAGACCCACAATCTCCCGAGATCTGATCTTCCTACAATTACTCTCATCAAACAATTCATCCTTTACAATCATTAACATATACAACGCCCCCCCCCAAATGTCTAGACGAAAACCAAGCGATCAAAGCATTATTGGAATTACAAGATTTCACACCTAACCCTACCCTTCTAATTGGAGACCTCAATCTCCATCATTCATATTGGGACCCCCTACATATACCCATCTTTTTATTAGCAGAACCATTCATCGAATAGACCAACATACACAATCTCAGACTCATCTCTCCCATAAGCATTCCGACTCATTCGAGGGGTAATATTCTCGACCTAGCCTTCATCTCAGGTCCATTTACAGCACTCACCACTATAGCGGACCACCTGGATTGCACTTCAGACCACAAAACTCTGAAAACCCTACTATACTGGAACTGCCGCGGCTTAAAACCCACACCGAAAATGATGCTAAAGACTCTAGACAAGAAGCTCTTCAAAGAACTACTTTCAGTAAATCTAATCAATATCGACTCTCCAACAGATTTTGCCACCCCTTCTGATTTAGATAAATTTGCTTTGAGCATTACACAAGTATTTAAAGAGGTATATATAGGCTTTGCAAAAAGATCCTTGAACAGCCCTTTACAATAACCCTGATGGAATGAAGACTGTATTCAAGCCTGCCGAATCCACAGAACGGAGAATACAATCGATTCCAAACGCTCCCTTCGAAAAACAATCCGCAAAGCAAAACAATCCTTTTACATCGCAAAATTTGATAAAGTAGAGAAGATCAACGATGTCTTTAGAATGGCTAAATGGCATCAAACCACAGGAGTATATCGGACCCCCCCCCTGAAAGACCCAATCAACCACGAAATCGCGAACAATATTGAAGAGAAAAGAAAAGTCCTCGTCAAGAACCTATTGACGAACGCGGCAGAAGTTGATGACATCCCTTTCGATATCCCAACAATCCCTGGTCAACACATCTCCTTCCCAAGAATCGTTATGAGTGATCTAGAACAGGCTATCCTAAAAACTGGCAATACAGTACCTGGCGCAAACGAGATCCCAACCAAGATCCTACAAGTTGCTTGGCCAATAATCAAAGACTTCGTCCTCCTACTCTTTAGGAAGTGCCTCGAATTGGGACACCACCCCGAATGCTTTCGTCTCGCTACTACAGCGATTATCCCGAAGCCCAACAAAGCCGATTACACCAACCCAAGATCTTACTGCCCTATCGCTTTGCTTTCAGTTCTGGACAAAGGCTTCGAAAGACTCGTCGCTAAAAAAATGTCATAGCTAGCTATACATTACAAGACACTCGCAAGCTAACAATTCGGTGCTTTACTACTACGCTCCTTGGTCGATCTTACAACTTGCGTTACGCATGATATCGAATTAGCTTTGAAAGCAGGCCAAAAAACAATGCTGTTTACTATGGATGTAAAAGGGGCCTTTGATGTAGTATTGCCAAGCCGACTTATAAACAGACTCCGCGAACAAGGATAGCCAAACAATCTGATCAAATAGATCCAATCCTTCGTTACTAATCGTTATATTAAAATCCGATTAAACGGCGAAACGGGCTTAAAGACAGCCCTGAATTGTAGTTTACCCCAAGATTCCCCAATTTCATTGATTCTATTCATGCTTTATATTGCCCCTATCTTTTGGATGGGAAACCCTATGAAGAGGTTCGGATATGCAGACGATATCGCTTTGCTGGCCTCCTCGGACAGCCTACAAGAGAATTGCGAAGTATTACAAGCCAATATGCAAGAGGCCCTCGACTAGGGGAAATCAGAAGGCATCACCTTCGATCCCAAGAAGTCCGAACTGATCCATTTCTACAAGGGCCATCGCACACTGACAGACGCCCCAGTTGTACAAACAGTCGGCCTAAGAATTGAAACAAAACCTGGCCCTCTTCGATAATTAGGGGTCTATTTCGATAGGAAATTGAGCTTTAAACCACATATCAAAATCCTCTCCGCAAAGACCCTAAAGATAACCAATGCACTACGCTTATTCAACAACACTTGCCGCGGAATCCCCCCCTGTTTCACCAAACGAGCTGCCATAGCCTGCGCACTGAAAAAATGCTATTTTGCATCGGAAACTTGGTGGCCAGATCGGTTCAGGCCCAAGAGTAGCATCTCTAACCTCAAAATTTCGAATCGAATAGATAGGCATCTAGACCTCCTAAACAAAGTCGTTTTGACCTGTACAAGAGCCACTTTACCGGTTTACAAAACCACCAATATAGCAGTACTACATGAGGAATCCAAACTCAGACCCGCAGAGATCGAACTGAACCAAACAACACAACTCTTCGCTGTCCGCACCACCAGACTAGACCCATATCATCCCCTTCGGATAAGGGCTGACTTAGTGAAGTCCGGAAATAGACGACTCCCAAGTTCGAGATTCGCAAGGATCATAGTTGCTTTACCCCCATCGGAACAAGTAAACCCTTTAGCTTATTTTTCATAGGAACAAAGAGAAACCAGAGCCGAAGCCGAACTACGCGTCGTCGGCCCCATAGGAAGATCAAAAGCCCAAGCAGTCAAAGACTTCGAGACCTTCTACGCTTCGATCCCAAGGAATGACCTTCAGGTCTTCTCAGACGGCTCAAAGAACAAAGGCAAAGATGGCGCTACAGGAGGCGGCTACATTGTCACTCAATACGATATAGAGGTGGCCCGTCACTTGTTCTCATTAGGCCTCAATACCGAAGTATTCGACACTGAAGCTACAGCAGCAACTAGAGGAGCGGCAGCGGCCTTAGCTCAACCCTCGGCCAGATTTGCCAAAGATCTCTGGATATTTTTGGATAACTACGAAGTGACTCTACGATTAGGCTCTCACTTTAATGGTTCATCTCAATCGGTCTTTGATGAATTCTTAGATATCTCTCGAGCCTGGGCGCAAAGACCTCGACTCCCACACTTACCCCCCAGCGAAATTCGCATCCGCTGGGTCCCAGGACACCTCAATATCCTTGGGAATGAAGCGGTAGATAAAGCTGCAAAAGAAAGAGCAGCTCTTCCTCCCCCCTCTAATCCGATCTGCACTTTAGCATCACTCAAGAGACTAGCCAAAGTCAACGCTTGCAAAGCTGACATTCAACTATGGAATATCATAAGCCCTCAATACTACAAAGATTTACTATACACACATACAAATAATACAATACTATTCTCTCTCAAAAGAGCAACTTTGAGCTACATCCTTACAATCAGATCCCAACATAGAGACTTCGCAAAATACCACAAACGTTTCAATCACACCTCAGCACTTCTCCTCTGTTCATACAAGAAAAGGAAGACCCCATTACATTTATTCTTTTGCAAAAAAGGGAAAGCGTATTCGACATTGATAAAAAGCCCCTTATCTGAAGCCATCCCATAGCTTCTAAGCACCCCCCCTGGCGCAATCAAACTCGCCGAATGGCTAGAATCCACCAGATTCTACCAGGAAATCTGCCTACGGCATACAGCTTCAATTTAAATAAATAAAAATTAAATAAAAAAAACTTCCTCTTTATTATCGGTTTTTTAGCAGGTACAGACAAGGCGTTTAGGCTATCAAAGAAGGTTAGGTTATTCGGACAGAAAAAAAAAACGAAAGAGGAGATAGGGAGAGATCAAGAGTTAGTGATCTAGTGGACGGAGTTGTCTACAGAGACCCCTCCAAGCCTGACAGCTTTAAATTCTTCACGACGGCAATCATGTAAACCATGCCTTAGTACCTGTAAATTACAAATATCCTAGCTAGCTAGTACTCCACCCAGAGGCCCCCTCTGGGCGTCATTTGTCCAACTCTGGAATAGATGGCTAAGGTTTGCACGTGCGGCCTACGGCCTATGACGATAAATACATCAAATCAAAAATCAATTTGTTTGTTTGTTTGTTTGTTTGTGGCCAGCAAAGTCGAAATCCCAGCCTGTACATCGGTGATGGCTACGACCTGATTGCAATGATATCAGAGAGCTGAGACCAAAGCGCAATTAGTGAAGTTGTTGCGGTTTCGTAGTTGCAGTTCAAGATTTTTCACGGCGTCATTAAACTCAGGGGGCAAGCATTACAATTAAAATATAAAATATTATAAAAGATTTATTATAATATAGCGAGATTTAAAAAACACTATTTAATACTATACAGATTAAGAAAGCAGTAATTTATTAATTTCCTACTTCTATAGGACTTATAATATAGACTCTCTAGCTCTAATATCCATTAACCTTAGAAGTTTCCGCTTTTACTTTTCCCCTCAATTCATCCTCTATACCAATATAATCATCAGCACTATACGGCTCAAAAATTTCCCAAAACCATCCCGATTTCCTATGATTCCTCAACCCCATATCTTTAAGCAACATATCATAATAAGGCAAGCCATCAAAAACAGTATCAGGATGTCGAGCGCCAAATCCTGATGGATACCTCCATTTCCCAAATCTACTGTGCAGCACGGTTTGATATTCTATATCGGAAGGAAGAGTGACTTTGTTGCTGAAAAATGCAGTCGCCCACAGTGCTTGGAATTGTGCCATGAATGATGTGGAGACTGATGATAGACAGCCCAGGAAAACTATGTCTCGAGACTCGATAAATTTGGGAGGGACCATGAAGCGGAATAGTCTGAATGGTTCGAGGATTCCTTCTGGAGCTCCTTCCATTGGCTTTGCTTTTTTGCTAGAGAGTGGCTCGTTCTTTAATCGGGGAAACTTGGAGAGGATCTCCTTATCGGCTCGTTCTATCAGAGCAGTTGGTTCCTCGGAATTTGGTGTATGAGGAAGTCCAAGATCGATTCCTTTGGGGAGAAATTCTAGTGGTGGAATATGTTTCCATCCGGTAGCACAGATAAAAGCGTCCGTCTGTATTTTTTCACCGTTCGAAAGACTAATGGTATTTGCACTTAGATTCACAATGTCCGCAATATGCACCGAGATTGCACCTGTGCGGACAAGTTCAAAGATATCCGTATCATGGTTCAAAATCGAAAGCATCGTTCCGATGAAAAAAGGATTCGACCAAGGTTTCAGCTTCGCAGTCTCGGGGTGTTCATCATATTTATTTACCGTTTTTATCTCGTTACTGAAATTTTCCCAATACTTATCGACGAGCCAACGACCGGCTGCTGTGCCATGTAACCAGGAGCGCGCTGTTCCATAGCCATCATAGTCGCCATATATGCTGGGACTAAACCAAGTCAAAATCCGAGTATTGACTAGCTTTTCGGTCCAAATTTTGAGGGGCGTGGAATAAGGTTCGGCCATCCATCCGGGACCATGGCCTGATTCTCTAATAATCCAATCTACATGGATTCCCTTTGAGGCATATGCATAAGCCATATCATAAGCAGACTTCGCGCCTCCAAAAACACATACGTTTTTCGATGTCTCCATGGTATCCAGATGATTTGGAAATTCCTTCGAATGAAACATCGATGCTGTGAAACTCTCAAATCCAGGAAACGGAGGAACAAACGGCTCTGATGTTAAACCCGTCGCAACGATGAGTTTCGAGGTGGATATCGTGTATTCTTCAAAAGATGCAGGAACAGTGCTACATCCAACCGTGACAATCCAACCACCCCCATCTTGATGCTCAGCTGACACTGCTCTACTCTCAAATCGTATCTTATCGTAGACATTATATTCCTTTGCGAAGTCTTCCAGATATTGATGGATCACAGGACCAGGAATATACTCTCCAGGTTTAACACCATATTTCTCCGTGCTCAATGGAAATCCGCTATACTCTAGTGCTCCGAGCATATTATTCGTTTTCAATCCGGGATATAATCTGTCATTTGCCCACACACCTCCAATCGTTGCATTATCGGCCAAGACGATGATACTTGCATTGGGGTGCACTTGAAGATAGGTTTTCGCGCCGGCAAGACCAAACCATCCTATTGCGTCGAAGGTCAGCAGACTGACATTATATTGTCCTAAATATAAATTCATCGCAGTGGAAGATTGTTCACTGGGAAACCTTACCTGCCCCAACTACTACAAGATCAACTTTATCTATTTCCGACATTGTGTACTCCTACCGATCAATGGATTCTAGTAGGGAAAAAGGAATATTATTACAAAGGTCACCAAATCTATACCAACTGACATGTATATGAATATATGAATACTTAAAAACTTATCTCAATCAGTAATAACCAACAATTAGTAAAATATTTTATTGTTAATCCAAAAGGTCAACTCCAACCAGTCGATCAATGTGGAGCATGCATACATACATGCATAAAGTCGCCTCATTCTCTCACCTGCAGATTCTTATCTCCAGCTAATTCGTGCACACCAAAAGAAGACATTTGTGGGTAAACTTATGAAAGCCAGTGAGATTTTGGCTCGGAATTCGCAGCATGGTGTTGCATCCGTTAGAAAAGTAGGCGGCACCCACCCACTCTTGCACAACAACGTTCACTTGCGGCTTTGACTGTTTATGCCGATTGGCTGGTGGAAAGTTATAGATAGATTGTTGAATTCCAGTCGTTCGTGTGGGTTACTTTCTTAGGTTTCTTTTATAGGTCAACTGTTGGGTATATTCGAGTATATCTACTATTGAGAAATGAGAAATGGGGAATACAAGTATTTCTAATCGCGCGCGAAGAAAACAGTATATATATTGCGATACAATCAAACTGAAGTCCCTTTTGGAGGTAGTTATATGTATGTGTACAATGCAGTGTACAATGCAGTGACACAATCAGCCTCCAACTCGGAAATTAACATGGGATTGAGTGATACAGATATATAAAAGTCGAATGAAATAATATAAACTCTGTATGGAAAATCTGTAATGTGGATGAGATGTTACATTTTCATGGTGTCTGTGGTAAGGTTACCGACTGAATTGACGAGTCTGAAATTATTCTTAAAAGATGTTTGTCTGGATTGAGAGAATCGGGATGATATGCTGCTAATTGATACAGCTGTGAATGATTGAATACAGTTGAATATTCCAAATGATTAATATTATTCAGACTAAATTTAATCTTCCAAAAATTCTAAAGATCAAACCTCTCTCATCTCATAACTGAAATGCAGACCAGACAATTAAGAAACGGGCCAACACTTTTCCATTAACCCATAAATCATCAAGCATCCCCCAAAACATTCGGCGCAATCTCCTTTACCACCTCCCAATCACGCGGTATATAAGCGCGCAACTTCGCCATCAAAATCCCAACATTACAACCACACAATCGAACATTTTCAAGCGAAACCCGAAAACAAGCACCGCTCTCAATCCAAACCTCCTTAGCCCTTTCATCATACGAAGCACCATTCATCACCTCACTTAGTTTCGTCAACTCGATCGGCATACCCTCGTGGTGAGAAACGGATATTGATCCAGATGCGTCGGGCCCGGGACTGCAGGTTTCCTGTCCGTACATACAATGTGTCCAGATGACTAATGCTGCGGAGGCTAAAGCAATGTAGGATATTGGATCGGGGATGAAATCGACGAGGGAGGAGGTCATGTTGAGTTTATTGTGGCTTAGGAGGATTTCGCTTGCGTGCCATAATGCTCGTCGGGAGTTGGGTTCTTGAGTCCATGCGCGTGCTGCTGATATACGTGAGGTATGTGGGTGGGAATATACTTCTCCGAAGAATCCTCGGATGTTGTCAGGGATAGCGGGATCTTTGGCCAGCATTCTTAGAGTCTGCATCTCGGTGAATACTTGTAGACTCATCAGGTGATATAGTATAGAGGTGTCAAATATGAATCTGTGAATGCGTCTAGAGACGATGTTTTCCCATCCGGGCTTGTCATGGTCTTCAATTCCATAATAATGTCGCATGGGAGAATGATCCGCTTGTTCCAATACCTCCCGGCTGGATATCCTTGTGCAAAGTTTCGTCGCACCACGTTTTAATGATTCTAGTTGCCGTTTCAACGATTCTCTTTGAATATTTAGACTTAGTTCGTTCCGTTTCTGGGGATCTTGCTTCGAAAGTTGCGAGATTTGTGATTGCATGGCCCAAAGACACATTTGGATATCCTCCAGCATAGAATCATTCTCCGAGAAGTCAATCGTTCCGAGCGTCACCTCTTCAAACATCATATTGATTAATCGCTGGCTTCGAGATTTCGGTTCATCCCGTCGACGAACTTCAAAGATTGGAAGCCCATCGGCATTCCAATGTGCAAAAGTTTCGGGAATACTGAAGTGTAGTTCCTCTGGTTTGATTAATAGTGGCTGTCCCTTTATGACACTAAAATATGTATCAATCTTGAATAGACCAATTGCAATTCTCCTTCTTTGTTCCTGCTTAACCAGATGTAGTGGTAGAAAAAAACCCGGTTTATCATCTGTATAGATAGTCCCAGGAGTTAAAATCCCAACCTCGTATAGGGAGGTAGCAAGGAGATTACGCAAAACCAATCCTTTTGCCAGAATGTCACGCTTCCCGCAATATGATGCGAAAATAATATTCAGTAAGGTACATTGGTACAAAACTATAGGTAGAGGTTGCGTCATTGTGTCTATATCTTCTAGTTGACACAGACGTGGAATGATACGCTTTACCAAACTCTGGTGAACTTTCAAAGCCCAATATCTCGAGGTTGGAGTTCCGTCGATCCAACCACCGATCATCAATATAGATGGGAGTAGAATCTTTGGCACCTCCTCAATATCCTCGTAAGATGGCGAATGGATTATAGGCCAGCGATCATGGAAGTGAGCAAAGTATAGAGTGCGGTATCTCTCGACAGTCTCTGTGGTCAGTGAACACAGGTAGTCGGGCTTGGATGTTGGAGGAAGGGGGTTTTGATGCGGTTCTCCAGTTTGAGGTGCATCTGGTTGGATTCTAAAATTTGACCAGTCAACAATCCCTTGAGATAGACTTCCCAAAGCCAGTGGATTCCAATTTTCAGCAGTAAGCGAACCACAAAGTACCGTCATACTTGCTGATGATCCATGTGATTCTTGTAAAGGGCTGCATGTTGGAATGGAGTTAAATGTCTGAAGCGGATTGGATGGTTGACCAGAATTGAACATCCGAGTAGAATCCGATGATCGATCTGACATAAATGCCTCAGAAAGACTAGGTGTCTGACCAGACCCTCGACTCCCGACAGAGTTCGCAATCCCATTTAGACTATCAGACATGACAGATTCTGACCCCTCCTCACCACTATCATTCGCCATAGAAACTTCATCTCGGCTACTATCTCCAGCAGCCGCAGACGATTCTTGCCCCGAGCCATATTTGCAAGGAATCATCTTCTTCTCACACCTTGAGCATGGATTCTTTCCATCGCATTTAATCTTACTGGAATGGCAAGCCACGCACGCTCTTCTACTTCGACCAATGGGCTTCTTAAACTGTTGTCCATGACGTCCAAGATGTCTCTGCAGTCCATCACTGCGAGAGAATTCCTTATGACATATCCTGCAAATATGTGCTGGGGATGTATCGGAATGAGATTTTTGATGTCGAGTCAAATGTTCTTTTCGCTGAAATGACTTTGTACAATCTTGAAATTGACAGTGCCATCTGGGGGAAGTTCCCTGGCTATCCATGCAAGCGACCGGGGAGATATGAGGTGCATAAAATCAAATGTGGGTAAGGCTGATAGCGCTCACTCATCAACGTCCCGATTCGGACTTGAAAGTCAAACGAGCGTTCAGGCTTAACTACGTTGACCTCAGCTCCGCAAGATTCGTCAATATTCCTATCCAAATTCGGCAGTCAAAGGTCTAGATGCTTAGGAACCATTTAACCCATTGCATAACCATGCTAACGAAAGTTCCAGGTGCCGTGAAGTTGGTTGCGATCGGACACCAAAAATCTGCCACGTGAAAAATATTCTTTTCTCGGTTGTAGGGAGGGAGGGATGTAATCAGATTACGAAAGAGAAAGATTCAAGAGGTTGATTATTAAAGTAGTATGCGGAGGAGGATGTGGGAGATGCTTTTACATCTAAAAAGAGGGAGGAGGGCGGCCGAAGATTGGTCATCCTTGATTGGAGATGAAGGCCGGTAAATGATAGTAAAGCCGAGTTCGCTTAGATGACCATTGACTCGGGGATAATTTTAGTTATACAATCAAATAAACTTCTACTGTTTATGCTAATTGAAGATTCCTCTACTAAAAGAAAAAGCTCGTGTATCAACAGTATTAATTCTTTACAGTTTGAAGAAATCATAATATTTAGCTATTGCAACGATCGATAGTTTGTTGTAGGTAGGGTGTTAAAGCTCTCTCACCGTAAGGCAAAAAGAACCCCTAGAACAATTGTTCGTCCCAAAGTCTAATCATAGGAATAAATATATTCTCTATTAAGTAGACAACCACAATTTTGAGTGCAGGCGCTTAGAGAATATATACTTAATTTTCACATGGATACCCACCCGTATACGAAGTAAGTAGCAATAAATAAAGCATCCAAACTCAAAAATGTCGAAATGCGAAACCCGGAGTTGATCACCCCTCAAAAATGAGGGATAAGCCGAGTCTTTGAAATCCCCCCAAAAATAAGGGATGAGCCGAGTCTTCGGAATTTCCCCCCTTCCCCAAAATGTCATGACATACATACATACATGGTTTCACACATTAGTGATTCGAATTGTGGATGATGGATGCATCTTCAAGCTATTAGAGAGCCTACGAGGGGAATATTCCTACATTTACTCACATCTCTAGATAGATTGCTTAAGGGAGTAGATAAAGTAGAGGCTGAAATAAACCCGAGTAGATTATACCCATCCAAGCGGGAATCTTGATGCATCCGACGATCATCAGGGGGGTAGTGTAGTATAAGAAATAGCGTAAAAACATCCGAAAACACCGAAGCCATCTATCTATCTATCTAATCTAACCTTCTAGATTATTGAAGAAAAGATTCCAATCTTATCGCTTCACGTACCTACACGCGATATGATGAATACTGGGGAGCGGAGAGCGGGCAGCTACTACGTACAGTACAGAGGGGTCGAAGCGTGACTTTACTACTCGCTAAGGCCAGCACATCCATCTATCAACCTTATCCTTATCCTGATGTATCCATCCCATCCTAAGAGGTGACAATGAGAATAAATGACGAACATACCACACAACGTCATCAAAATGACAACCTATACATAATGCATATCACATCACATCACATCACATCAGTACCTACCTAGAAATAAAATAGACAGCAAACCGAAACGGACAACCGGAGAATTCTTCTATTTTCCGTGTTCCTCTAACCTATCTGTACAAATCAGTTCTTGATGATTCAAAGCATCAGAGTGTGTATTTCGGCTCCCCCCTCCCCCATCCCCCCTCTACATTTGATGTCGTGATTTGAGTTGGGGAATATGTATATAAATGCTCTATATCCATTTGTTGAATGTTAATTATATATTACATCTATCTGTCCAACTATCTATCTATCTACCTATCTATTCCATCATCTCAAAACAATCAATCACACAAACTAAATCCTCTTCACCATGAGTATCATCAAGAACGTAGCCTTTGTCGGTGTAAGTAAACCAACCCACTCCCCATCTCCAAAAATCCCCAAAAATCTCCAAAAAAATTCCTAACAAACAAACCCAGGCATCCGGCGCCCTTGGCCTACCAGTCCTCGACGTCCTAATCAAATCCAACAAATTCAACATCACCGTCCTCACCCGCGCAGCGTCCAAATCCACCCCGGAACTCCCCACCTCCGTAACCATCCTCCCCGTAGACTTCACCTCGGTTACATCCCTCACCAGCGCCCTCCAGACCCAAAACATCGACGCCGTAGTCTCCTGCGTCGGGGCCCCCGGCCTCCAAGGCCAAAGCCTCCTAATCGACGCCGCAGTAGCCGCAGGCGTAAAACGCTTTCTCCCCTCCGAATTCGGTTCTGATCTCTCCAACCCGCTTGCTAAACCCCTCCCCGTATTCGCCGACAAAATAACCACCCAAGCCCATCTCGAAGCTGCTGTTGCGAAAAATCCTTCGTTGACATATACATATGTCCGCAACGGACCATTTCTCGATTGGGGACTCGAGCATAAACTCCTGCTCGATCTTAGCTCTGGAACATCGACCATCTACGATGGAGGGGATGTACTTTTTAGCACGACTACTTTGGAGACCATCGGAAAAGCTGTCGTCGGCGTGCTCGAAAAATTCGAAGAGACAAAGAACCGAGCCGTCTATATTCAAGATATCCAAATCACGCAAAATCGTCTCTTGGAGCTTGCAAAGAAGGTTGCGCCAGAGAAGAAGTGGGAGTCCGTCCATGCGGAAACCGCTAAGATTCTTGCGTCTTCGAACGAGAGGGCTGCAAGGGGGGAATTCAACATGGAGGTTATAATCGGGTATATCATCGTCTCGGTTTTCGGGAAGGGATATGGTGGGAGAATGGAGAAAACTGATAATGAATTGTTAGGTTTGAAGGAAAAGACTGATGCAGATGTGGAGGCTATTTTGAAGAAGTTAATCAAGTAAGGAAAAATGTGTTAGAAATGTATCCATAGCTAGATTCATAGACGAACTATAAATATCATGGTACTTTTCAATCTCTTTGAGAGGCTTGGACAGGCTTGGACAGAACTGGGTACAAGCATCGCGTGACACACAGCATCATTCAAATGTTCCCGATTTGACTTAAATACAGTTTTTCATATCTATGTTTGAAATATATACTGTGCGTGCCCTGCTTTCCTCAAATGCGGTCGCTCTATTCATTAATGCATAAACAACCAGTCGATTTGTACGCCTTTCCATATCATAAGTACTCATGTTGTTTCATGATGTTCATTCAACCTCGGCCGTGCAGCTTGGAACCTACCCAACAATGCATTTTCCCAAAATATACCAACAACCCCCCAAACAGCGATGATCATACCCAATAGAGCGTTGCCGCGCCGCCGTCCAAGACCAATCAATGAATGATGATATCCAACCTAATAATTTGTAATCCCAAGGGGTATACCAAAAACACCATTGTCCAATTTTTCCACCTCATCTCTCTAAGACTTCCTTATACAAGTGTGCCGTACTCCATACTATTATGTATGTATGCTCATCCATTTCATCTAAAACCATATACAATGATGAATCTGATTCTCACTCCCTAGTTGTTGGGGTCGGGTTGCTAACTCCGCCTCCGCCCGCATTTCCACCACGATTAATTCTGTTATTAAGAGCTGCCGAATTAAACATAAAATCACGGTTAATATCCATGCTTCGAGCAATGCGTCCTCCTGGCGTGTTAGGATTGACAACGTTCACACGGCCACGGGTTGAAGCTCGCTGTACATCTTCGTCATCCGTGTGATATTCCTCCTCATAATCAGCCAATCTGGTAAAATAATCGGCAAGCCCGTCGACGCTAGGCGTACCAACAACAACATCATACATAGGCGGAGGTGTTGGCATTGGTGGAGGGGGTTGCTCGGCCTCATATTCAGGAGCGGCAAAGCTTGGGTTGCGCAACATATGAATAGGGCGCTGGACTGCTGTATTCATTACAAGATGTGCCTGTGGCGGCCGAGTCAGAGGCTCAGCGGTCTCTGGACGCGCAATCGTGGATTGACCAAGACTCTGCCTCAAATTATCAAGAGAAGGATCTGTCAGGGCTGAAATTGGCGGAAGTTCTGCGCTGGCTGCAGTAGGACAACCGCATAGGCCGTCACCCTGAGATCGAATACTCGGACCACCGAGATCACAGTATGCAGGCAAAGCCATTTGCATTTGGGATGCCTGGCAGCTGAGGATAGTGAAAGGGGAGTCGATAGATATCTCGAAATGACGACGTTTCTTACCAGAAGGATCATCGGGGTCTTTACGGGATATACGCATGGCAATCTAGAAGCAGGATTAGCATGTGTCTTGCAAGGAGTTGTGGCTTTAAATAAGCAGTTTAATTACCTTGAACCAATGGTGCACCCTAGCGTTCTTCCATGAACAATCATGATGGAGACGTTTATTTTTATCCTTTTCCATCATCTCACATGTTGGCAATTGAACTGACAGCTCCAATTCTGTCGGGCCAGCGAAATGGTCAAGTCCAAGATCAAGATCCCCTAATATATTGTTGGATTCTTCAGGTAGAGGTTCCACTGCCGTGTTGAATTGTCTTGCTAATCTCTCTCTTTCCCTCTGCGCAGCCGCACGCGCCACGGCCCTTTCTTCGACAGTAAGCTCGCCTCCACGGACAACTCGCATTTCTGAGTTGCTATACTCTCTTGAAGGAGGCTGCCCCGCCAACTTCTCGAACAGTAATATCTTCTTTTGCGACTTATTCTTTCTAGAAAACGAATTGTCGTTATTGGTGTAATCAATGGACTCCGTGACATAAATCCTGATCTTGTGAATCTGCACTTTTGCCAGCGGGGTCAATTTAAAAGCTATAGGAATCTTAGAACCCAAAGGGAAAGATTTTCCGGATATCATGATATCGTAATGCAGCTGATCATCCCAATTCCTGCTGATTGAAATGGGTTCAACTAGCTCTAGTGACTCGATACTTGGCGTTCTTACGACCGGTACTTCTTTGATTCCCAAGAGATTTGGACGAAAGGCACTCGCCCTTTCTACCATGGCCTCCACTTGCCATTTTACAGAAGCGTTCGGGAGCTTCGTAGTTTCTGGGGAGTTATTGTCAATTGGCATTTCAAAAGTGTATTCGTATACGCCAGGATGGAAAGTCTTGTAGCCTTTCTGTTGGGGTGTCGGGCCGTTAGGAGAATCTCCCTTTTGGAAACTACGGGATTGGTTACTCTGTAATGACAATCTTTTTGATTCTCTGGATGTCATGAGGGTGTTTGCTCTACTTCTAGCACCGAGTAGTGTCGAGATTCCAGAACTTGGCGAATCAAGAGGGGTTATCGTCGTCGTCCCTGATTTATCCCGTAGATAGTAATGGCAGTGAGTTCCATAACCGACCTCAGAGCCTTCATACAAAGCATTGAAGAATGGTAGAACTTGTGTTCGAAGTGACTCTTCTTCGCAAGAGTCCATTTTGGCTGGCGGCACTCCTGTATCTTTTGTAAGCTTCCCTGATCAAGAGACATAAAACTCATTGAAAATCGCATACCTTCGGGCCATTCAGTTCTCGCTATTCCTTTAAATGTTAAGGTGATCGCCTTGATCTTTATACTTTTGGTAATGTCAAGTCGTACTTTGCCACGGAGAATCCCAAGGGTGTTGTTAGATTCGGAGTTGCGGGTCGTGCCGTCGTGATCCAAACCTGTCAGATATACAATTGGTTCAGCGAAGGGAATGGAAAGAGAGACCCCATGACCTGACGCAAGTGGTTTCTCGTTATCTCCAAAAGTCGCAAACGAAGGTGGCTTCGGATTTCGAAGATTCAAATGGACGTCGGCGGGGTTGTTCCCAAAAGGTCGATTTTCGATGCCTACTGCTTCCATGTTACCGGGCCCAGGTCCAGTCATTATTCCTGCTTCCAACCCGGCTTCCAATCCCGCACTTGATTGAGCCCTTCGAGAGAATATACTTCGACGATCTCCTGAATTAGTCCGTACTGATTGTGAACGGCTGACCTGTGGGCTCGATACTATCGTCGATGATGCAGCAGAGGCTGTTGGTGTAGAAGTATGGGACGAAAATGGCGAAAACACCGACCCTAGCACACGCTTTGCACTCTCTCGCGAAGCCAGCTTGTTCAGTTGAGACTTGGCTCGGGAAGGTTTCTTGGGCTTTGCCGAAGGCGACGGAGGTCGCAGATCAAACGGTACGAAGCCTGCAGGCAGACGGGTGATGTGTATGGAATGAGGTCGACGCTGTCTTGGTCGGCAAGGTGGGGTGGGAAGTGTTGTTTGTCGTGTCTTGTCTGCTTGAAAACCGGGAGGATGATAGTAAACGATACCTCTACTGCTGAGGTACGGGATTGAGATTTGACCTGTCATTTTGCGTATTAATAATTAATCCTCACGAAAAGATATCTCCTGTAATGTAAATGCTGAATGAGTGTATGGAGTTTCTCGATGAGGTGTAGGAAGTAAAACGAAAGTAGTCGCAAACTGTGGTGGTATGCTAGATGCTGTGACCCATTGGACTTTCGAGGCAATGGCACAATGTTATATTCCTGTGATATCTGATCGCGCTGGCATCAGATGGCCCAGAACTTAAAGTAGTCATGCAGAAACTCTTCTGAACAGGGAAAAGCTGGTAGGGCTTAGATCGGAGGGGGATATGATTCACGCTTCAATCTGTCGTACAAACCAAGCCATAAAAGTGCGTTTGAAGGATTGGAACTTACAAGATTTGGTAGATTCACTATGAATTTGTTTGTTGTCAGATGCTTGGGAAAGTTATAAAACAAGGAGTAAGGTTTTATCTGATTGCCAACTCATGCGGAATGGAATGCGAAGTAAAGTACGAGTACTTGTGTTATTGTACTACTCAAAGCGCAAGAAGCGGTATGCCTGTTTCCTTTTATTTTCCAGGTATTCGAGATTCAAGCAAAAGATCTGCTGGCAGGGTTGATGTTGATGCTTGTGTAGCTAGGTAGTTAGGAATCCCGGAAACCCCACATGCAGTAATAAGTTGCGATAAATGGACGATTGGACGGATTGGATGATTGGGAAGACGAGGACCAGGTCAGCAGGTTATCGAATACCGAGACATGCTTTTCAGGATGGCGGAATGGTGAGGTGAAGGAGGAGTACAAAAAACAGAGTAAAGGTTAGAAATCAGATGAATAGTTGTTACCTCATACAACACGACGATGAGGGTAAAAGATAATTAAGAGAAAAAGTGCAATGAATGTGTACGTAAGCTTGCAATTGATGATCAACGAAACGCAAACACTGTTCTGGTCAATTGTCGGCCCTTTCTTTTACTATTTCGTCTCTCTTGTTGGTGTCAAATAGGTATTCAACAATAGAGTATAAAGGTTGAGTGAAAAGAATCAGGTCCAACAGGTGTGTCGAGTTACAAGTTACGAGGATATAAAATATAAAAACCAATCTTTGGACCCATCCTAAACGCCCACATCATGGGTTCTCTGTGCCGGAAGCCGCGGAGGAGATCTATGAAAGTCTTCTTTTGTATGTACCTACCGACCTAGAGGCTTAGTAGGTGGCTGCCATAGTGCCCAGGAGGGCGGTGATGATGTAGTTGATATCTGAATTTTCTAGCGTGTGTAGGTAGGTATCTACAATGATGACTTGAATACTACTTATTACAGTAATACTGCCTTGAGGTATTCAGCACAAAACATCTAGAAAGACAGTTGAGAGAAACAAAATATCATCATCAACTATTTGTACTCGACTTTCCGTTGAATGTTCCATTCTCCCTCTCTACCTAGTGCATACTACATGCTGACCATTAGTAGGTCTAGAATCCTTTCCTATTCCTATTTCTGTTCCTATTCCTAGTCTTCAAGATTTGATCCTACTACCTATTATTGGTTGACGACTGCACTTATGTACCTGTTAATCCGTACAGAATACAAGCAATATACGAATCTATCTCCCCGCCATATCCGATAAGTGCCTTTCCGAGATACCGGGCTCCTCCACCATACCGAGTCTTAACCTTTTATGAATCTACTCGAGTACCTAGGTATTGATCATTGACATCTTCTATTTTAGGTTCATCGACACAACATTACAGAGTAAACAATACAGTATTATTATCATTATCATACATCAACAAAATAGGCTCCAGTTATTATTCATAAGAAATTAATCAAAACCCAAATCGATAATTAAATCGACAATCAAATCTCCATATCCAAATTCTCGAATACAAGTTTTCATGCCCAAATACCCATCAGAAATGTAGCCCATCCCAGATCCACAACGAGACGGAGAGATCCTACATAGTCCATACACAAAGTAGAACCAAGGAAAGAAAAAAAAAAAAGCAGAAAAGAAAAAAATCTTTTAACAGATCATCCGAAAACGGGTACCCCCTTGTAATATTCTCACACGAGGTTTCGACTTTTCTGGATATTCCAGGTACATGAAATACCCAATGTCCCGTTCAACTTGGAACCCCTCCACCTCAAGTATTTAGACTTTGGAAAGTTTGAACTAATAGGGACATAATGATTGATGGAGGTTGAAATAACAAACGGTACTATATCGTGTTATTTGTGTTATTAGACTCTAAGATTTAGTTTTCAAAATGATGTCTAAGCCTTAGAACCAAGGGAACTAACTTATAACTCTACCACCACCCAACACCCAAAACACTCTAATAATGTCGTGTTGACCGATTTTCCGACATATATGCGTACACTCCTCCGCATCGCATTCCCCAAAATGATTGCAAACCCTGGCCTGATCTGTACTCTTTTGGCCAGAAGTACCAAATCAGGGTTTTCTTCTAGAATCCTAACTTATGATTGGCGAGGTCAATCGACAACACTCTAGTCTCTAATTGAGAGCTTATATCCACAACTCTGACCTCAAATTCCAGTCTACTGTTTGCAAATGGCTTGTTTAATAGTGGCATACGAATGACAATGACGAATTGCTGGCAAGTGTGCGGAGTATCCTAGGTTCAAACTTCAATCTCTAACCAACTGGATTTTGATATCAAAAGAGAGCATTGATCATATTTCAACATTTTATAAATTCATCCTATCTATCAAACGGGCACAGATCGATTCGTGATCAGGAACCTGCCAAGAAGACATCACCCATTTCTTACATCTCATTTGACGAATTCATGAAGCATGTGTAAATATCGGAAGAACTTGCTGTCCTATCACCTCGAGCAACTCATCAATTGCGGGATACCTATAATGGAAGTCCAAGCTTATGAGCCACTTGCATCATTATCAATTCGTAAACATTAGGTTTGTTCCAATGGAAAACTCTAATAGATACCTAGTACCTGGGGATGTGGGTGTTATAACTGACCAAAGTTATAACCATCTGAAAGTTTTCAATATTATCAAGGAGAGCCTTTACAAAAATAATTTGCTCGCTGGTGAAGAGCGTTATGTGCATATGTTCGGGAACGTCACTTACTCTACCTTGCATGAGGTTCCACTGCATTCATGCACTGATGGATCTTATACGTCATACCGGGTCCAGTGTAAACACTCTAGTCCATCCCCAAAATCCCCATAACCACATCCAAATTAGTTCATCTTGATCACATCGAGATGCCTGAAGATGATTGACGAGAAGGCTTCTAGAGCATAATTCCTCGGTTTGAGTTAAAGTAGTCACAGGCGCTTTCTTCAACATTAGAATGATCCTAGAGTGAGGAGGCATAAGGATGATGGGAACATTGGGATTTAGGAGAATAATACTCGTACTCCATTCAGAGATAGTTCATCTGTTTTTCCCTCTTCGTTCTCGGTCCTACATGGAACCCCTTGACTAGGTTCTGCGGGATTGTAGTGAGCCGAGTCCGCCAAGGCTTTTCTTAGCCACGCTACTTTAAAATGAAGATATACTCTTACTTACAACCCAACTCGTCGAGAGATATTGCTTCTAGCCTCTGGGATTGAGCAGTAAAATGAAGTGAACATCTCAAAGTACGAGTTATTGTTCCTGCCAGACGTGGGATTCAGTATCAAGAGGGTTCTACCCACCAATCGAAGGAAGGGCGCGAGTGCCAACCAAGAATCCAAGATACCTATGTTCAAATACAGTATGCAATTCCTTATTCTAGCACTAATAGTCAATAAAAAGGCGCGTATTTTGAAATTTGAACAGATGTATGAAACGAAACATATAAAAAGAAGAGAAATAAAAAACTACCTGCGAATATCCCAGCATCATCATCAATTCATCCCAGGATATCAAAACTATTATATTATCAACATGAAGCCTGCAACCACTCCCAAAAACAGCACTTATCTTCATCGATATTCAAAACTCCTCTCTCCATCCTTCTACAGCCTTTGGTGATCTCACAAAACGCAGCACGCTAAAGTACGAGCAGAATTAGAAATAACTACTCAAGCAAACCAGAAAATGCGACGAAAAGATACCCGCTGCAAGTATCTGTTTATTTATTCATCCACTTTCATTTGTCATATATAATAAACATCACAGTATTAATCCCAAGTCTCTATGCATCCAATTAAACAGGTAGATATCAATAGGAAATCAGTACCAGAAGTGCAATCTCAAAAATTCGCAATTCCTTGTTTTAATGAGAGAGGTCTGGATAATTAAAAGATATCAATTCGGTATTTGTAGGCATGGGAATGGGAATGGGAATGGGAATATGAATGGGTTTAGAGAGTTTTTGGGGAAATAATGATATTTGAT